TTCTTGTATGTGAATTTTACCTCCATTAAAAAGGAGACAGCGGGTCCAAAATGGAGTCACTTGTGCTAAGCAAACCAAGACTTCCTAACTGCAGTCTCCCCTCTCCCCACTCCCAGGACTGTGATGGGGGCGGGGGGCTGTTCACCTTTTTCCACAGAGGGAACCTTCCTTCTCACTCAGTCCCCACCTGTGGGCACCCCCAGGTCGTGACAGCCTCCCGCCATCTACTCATGAAGGGGCCTGTACTGGGTCTTAAGTGAACGCACCATCTATTTGTTTTCCTGTCCAATTCAAGTCCCCTAAAGACCCACGGAGAGTCCTCAGCCTGACTTCCCCGGGGACCGACCGTCCTTTTCGAGAAGTGTTCTCTCCTACGTGAGGGGTCTGCCAGTGGCTTTTGTGTTCACGTCCCGGGGCCCTCTGACCATGGCTCCTCAGAAGCAAACCGTGGGAATGAGAAGCTTGGATCCCCACGCTGGGCGCCGCCGTCGGACTGGGGGCTCTGGCCTGCCCGAGGTGCTCGGCTCCCTCACGGTCTTCAGAGCAGATGACGAGCTTCCTAACCTAGCCACTGTGCAGCCAATACAGGGCGATTTACTCCTCTGTTTATTCCACCACTTGGCTCTTCCTCTCAGAAAGAACATACACGAGTTTGGAGTCGCTCCTCCCGCCAGCACCTCGAGCGCTGCTCACACCACCTTCCCAGCAAGACGCCATCTATTGCTAACTGCAAAAGGACTCAATCACGCCCGGCAGGGACCTTACCTCCTGGCAGTCCCTGAGGGGCTGTCCTTGATGGGACAGGGCGAGGCCATTAAGAGGAGGCTTCGTACTGAAGAGGAAACATTTCTGAGGCGGCTACAGTTGTTAAAATTGTGGGGAATTGATGCAAGATCTGGATTTTGACCGCATCGTTCTTCTGAGAACCTCTTTGGGCTTCATGACCGACTTTTTTTCTTAATTAACATATGATGTATTGTTTGTTTCAGGGGTACAGGTCTGTGATTCGTCAGTCTTACACAATTCACAGCGCTCGCCATAGCACATACTCTCCCCAATGTCCATCTCCCAGCCACCCCATCCCTCCCACCCCACCACCACTCCGGCAGCACTCAGTTTGTTTCCTGAGATTAACAGTCTCTTATGGTTTGTCTCCCCCCTCTGGTTTCGTCTTCATTTTTCCCTCCCTTCCCCTATGATCCTCTGTCTGTTCCTCAAATTCCTCCTATCAGTGAGATCATATGATACTTGTCTTTCTCTGATTGACTTATTTCGCTTAGCATAATACCCTCTAGTTCCATCCATGTCATTGCAAATGGCAAGATTTCATTTCCTGATGGTTGCATAATATTCCATTGTATATATATACCACATCTTCTTTATCCATTCATCTGCTGATGGACATCTAGGCTCTTTCCATAGTTTGGCTATTGTGGATGTTGCTGCTATAAACATTGGGGTGCACGTACCCCTTCGGATCACTGTATGACGGACTCTTTAGCTCACATTAAATTGAGGGTTGGTGGGTTAAAAACCAGAAGTGAGGCCAGCCTTTCTAGGGATGGACTCCTTTGAGTTAAGCAAGTATTATATAAAGTCATTAATTCCCAAGCTGAATAACAAGATGACAGATGGCTAAGAACAGATGTGCATCCCAGTGAGTGTGAGCCTTGTGTTTCGGGCAGACTCCAATGGCGCCGTGAAGGTGTGGGGCTCTGAGGGGTATTAAGGAAATGAGTGCTCTATGTCTGCAAGCATTTAAATCCCCCGGAACAATTAAGACAATGCATTAACCGCGAAGCTTGAAATCAGACAACCCATAATACTCGATGTAGAAAACGTTCCAGCTTCCATAATTCTTTATTAAATATTTGACAAGTTGTATCACTTCTTTACAACGACTTCATTTGTCACATTACTTTTTCGCTGTCAGGAAAACAATCTACAATTTCTCTTTAGATCTCTCAAGAAAAATGAAAAGCAAAAAAGGATTTGTTCTTAAAACTTTTCCTGTGTGTATCAAATTCAACCATATTTTAAAGCCATTCTGATTGTGAAAAGGAGCGTGATCCAGAAGTTGTGTTTAAAAAATTTCAAAGTAGTTTGGTTTGTAATCACCGTATCAAATAGTACTTGGCTTTGTATTTATTAGGAGGTGGGGGGGTTTATAATAAAAAGTTATGAAACATTGAGAATTCATTTGGAATGCTTGAAACCCTTTTCACCTTACAAGTCACTGTTTTTTTCATGTTTCATTTGGTAAAAGATCCTGAATTACGGAATGCCAACACATTAGCATCATTTTCCTGGGGTCCCTCTCAGGCTCTGAGGGTCAGCCATCTCAGGACACAGCTTGGAGGAAACTGTAGAAGGACTAAGCTCTCACTCCCTTTTGAAACCAGATTACTCGAAAGGTGTAAAAATGCTATACAAATATATACATATATATTTGGACAGCATACGTACGTACGCACGTACGTATATATGTATATACATCTCACATAAGTAGTAGCAAAGGAAAAACAAAGTTACGTGAAGTTAACATGAAGGAAACACCGTGACCATCTAGGTGGAATCAGTCTGAGTGAAAGGGCAAACTGGCTTATCTAGGAACACAGATGTCTGCGGACACAGGGTTATGGTCATCAGAAAGGCTTTCAATGCTCTGACACGAGGCTGAGATGCAGGACACAGAGGTCTGTAGCCAATGCTGTTAGATTCCTATTGATACTCCTTAGAAACATAAGCCCAACGAACAAGAAAGCATGCATTTTCAACATGCGTTGCTCTGTGCACAACACCTTTCACCAAGGATAGATGTCTAATGAGAAGTTTTCTTGGAACATTCTATAAAGACAGAAAGCTATCCTTTTCTGAAATAAAACATTACACGAGCTCACGTCCTAATGCTACACACAGCATCGTTTCTGACACTGAAAACACTCTGGGGTGGGGGTGTGCGTATGCCAGTGTATATACACTGTTCCTTAAGGCTTAGATAAATTAAAAAGTGGTCCAAAGTGTATCACATTGTCTTCCCAGTTTTAAAATCTAAAGTACAAAGTGGAGTTTATAAGGATTTTTTAAAACGCATCTCAGACCTGAAATTGGCAGTTTTGACATGACTTCTCAGGATGTACCCCAAAGCCTGAAGGAGACAAGAGGTACTGCTTGATTTCCTGGGGGCCAGGAAGGGAGCAGACCAGGCAGTCACCCTGCGCGGCAGCGCCCCCTACTGACAAGGCAGGAAACGACACCAGACAGTAAGCGCCTCTCCCCGTCAAGAAGGGTGGGGGGGGTGCAGAGGAAAGAGGAAAAGAAGAGGGTGGCTAGCACAGCGGGGAGGGGGCTCGAGAACTGATTAACCTACGCTCTCTATAGATTTTAAAAGTTCAGAGGTGAGACACAAGACTTAGGAAAATGCTAGAGCCAAGTGTTAAACAACTAGTTAACTGTTACAACAATTAGTAATTTGCTGCATGTGAACTTGGCTTTCAAGAGAGCCAGTCTGGATCTGGCAAGATCGAACAGCCACGGTACATGTTGTCTATTTAACACTGTGAGATGTAGAAAGTGGTTCAAATATTTTGCCAACCATTTCTCAGAATCTGTCGCTGCATCTTCACGTGGGAGGAATAACCCGTGTCCGTCACTTCAGAGCATTTGCCGTCCGACCACAGGGCAAATCCGATGTTCGACCAAAGGGCCTTGTAAACAAAAATCAAAGAAGCATCTTACGTTCTTATGATTTGGTTCAGGACTGGCTATAGAGAAGTACGTAACGGAAAATGTTTCAAAGCTGAATACAACTTTAAAACAGACAAATGCCCCATGGTTTCCCATTCCGGAGGCAGCCGGCTGAAACACAGCACACCATCTGAAGCTAATCCAGACTTTCCAAATTCGCCTGCAGGCCAAAGGGACAGGGACTGAGACACCCTGGACTACAGGCAGGCGTCGTAACTCATGTCCACAATGCAGTTGTTAAACTCTGCAACTAGCTTCCTAACCTCGTGGCAAAATGATCCACAGTAACTGTTACTTCCTTCAGACAACTAAAAAAAGCCAGATCCAGGTACTTTCTAAGGGAACAGAAGGTACAGAGCCCCTGGACTTAGGAGAAGCGCCAGAGGGGAGGGTGACTAGAGGAGGCAGCCAGTCCTGGCCCTCACCCTCCCTGGGGCCTGCTGACGGGAACGGCCAGCAGTCCCTGGGACTCTGTCGTGAAGATGCCGGAGAGTGGTTGTCAGCATTTAGAGAAAACAAGATCTAGGATTATTTTAGACAAAGAGTGAAACACTGAGAATTGCTGAGATGAGGGAATCTGAGGTCGATCAAAAGCCAAACAAAAAACAAACCCCAAACCCAGCACTGTTCGGCTGTCACTGAACCCAGCATTTAGTGGTAGATGCACCGGACGGTCAGTCACAATTACGGTCTTTCAAGTATTCATAGGGGTAGAGTTTGACAATTCCCATCTGCTCCTGGCACAGAAATGATCTTAGGATGGATTTTTCTTTCATATTTTTAACACTGCCTAATTTGCAATTACACAGAATATTCGGATTTTTTGAATATACGGTTTACAAAATGACAGAATCCCAGTTCTTCAACTAGAATCGTGGGCTTTCTCCCCTGTAAGGACATGATCACTCTTGAGAATCCGTCCAGGCATTGGCTTTGGTGTGAGTCCTAGAAAGCAAGCCCTCTGGACCAGGAGGGGCCACATGATGGGGGTTTGCCATGAGACATTTGTTATATATTGACTGAAGGGAGAAAAAAAATCCCACAAATAGAGAAAAATACTGAGCACTGTGTTTTTCTCCAATTATTCAACCTCTAAGTTCTCTGATCACTATTGGATATTTGTAAATCAAATGGAGAAGGGAGCCAATCCTCACCTCTGTAGAAATCCACCTTCTCTCAGACACCTCCGACCTTTGCACCTCTTAAGACGGCTCACTTATAACCACGAACATTCATGGTTTTTCACAAGCCACCCAGAGCTGGGTAACAATGAATTTCTTACACCAAAAGGTCCTTCTTACATAACCAACAGGGAGGCCCCAAAACCACGATTTTCTGTCTTATCACCAGCAAGAGATCGAATCTCTACAGCCCCCTGTCACGACAGGGTTTAGGACAACACAGGTTAAAAGGACAGCAGGGCTGCTGAACTCCCAGGCTGCCCTCAGGCTTTCTCTCAAAACACCACGGAATTCTGCGACCAACACTCACAAGCGGCAAAGTATCCAAGCGCGTGGAACCCTCCATCCCCGCCACGGCCAGCCCAACGGCCCAACCGACTGTGGGGGTCAAGTCCAAGTTCCCGCTCACTTTTCAGTCCAGCACAGAACGGACACCACTCAGGCAATACACAGTGGCGAAGCATGCAACATGTCCCAGGGGACAAAACCCGGTTAGACGAAGTGTGCATTCAATGAATCTTGGTAGTTGCCCCGCAATCACAGAACAATGGGTGAGGACGGGGTCTGTAGGCTCAGCTTTACAGCTGGGTTTTATACACCAGTAGCCAGAGTCAAAACTGATAGATATTGCACCGGAAAGATGTGTGCAGGGAGAAGAAATAATCATCACATTGAATGTCTACGGTAAAAAAACAAAACAATTACAAAACCAGATAGGACCTCCATGTCGTACATAAAGTGCCTTCAGAATTGGTGCAGTTAGGACAAAAAACTGGTTATTTAGCGACCATTAGCCAACGCGTACAAATAAGACATGAAACAGATCTCTGGTTTCCACAGTTTCAAATCAAGCAGTGCCAAGGTTCATTCAAATGTTTCCACTACGAATAGCAAAGAAGAAAAGGTGAGAAGAGAAGGACTGTACAGCATCAGGGAGGGGTAGGTAATTTCTCTTCTGAGAAAGTATAGTCCAACCCTGTCCCAAAGGTGTTCTGGCACACGTAATTACTTCTAAGGAATGATGGTGTGAGTCCTTCAGGTCAACACCGAATTTGTCATGCTATGTTACAATTCTCTCAGCCTGCAGCTATATGCTAAATTTGTACAAAAAAAAAAGTAATATCCAGTTTGTTTGCATTTTGAGTACGGAGAAAATTACCATTATGCCTAATGTTATAGTTTAAATGCTCTCAAAGTACTTGTTTGTAGAAGGTTTTTGGACAAAAATCAGTCTTCCAATTCTAATGAAGTAGGGAGTGGGGAGGGTGCTCAAAGTACTTCCAAAATAAAAAAAAAAGTCACTGACATTAAACCTGGTATGAAATTCAAATACAAAAAAAATATGCTCACTTTTCCAAGTACACGAGACATCTTTAATTGTAATGAAATAAAATCTGAAAATCGATCTAAATCATTTTAAAAAGTAAACATGAGTTGTAATACTATACCTGTAGATGATTAATTCCATTCATTGTCATTATAAAGTATGTAAAATATTTATTAAGGGCTTTGCCTACAGAGGCACAACATAAATAGAATTAAGTCCTCCTGAAATGTAATTAGTGTACACATCAACCAGTTGATAATTCGTGGTGGAAAATGCAGGAACTCGACCTGGGGCTCCCACGTCTGAACCTGGGCAAGTCGTGGGCGAAGGCTCGAGAAGGCTCGGCTCCAGGAGCCACACCTGCGGCTCCTCTTTCCACCTGGTCTCTGCAAAGTCTGTTGTTAGGCAAATGCAAAAGTGCAAGCAGGACTTGCTGGACGACCAACCACCCCGAGGCCGGGCGGGGAGCGATTAATCCACCCCCTCAAATCCTTGAGCGTTTTCCACGGCCATGAGAAGCTTCTCTCGTAAATCTTCAAAGGTCTCATATGGAGGTAAGTCAAGGCGATTAAAGCTGCAGAAGCAACAGAAAGTACAGGTCAAAGGCCATCCTTGTTACCCTGTGGTCATGACGGTTCCTGGCTGGGGGAGGGGCGGGCTAAGCAGGCATTTGGTATTTGAGCAAGAGGATGTGCAAGTCTTCAGCAACAATTTCCAGTCATCAAAAATAAATACCAGCAATGAAACTGTCCACGCCGAAGAAGTTATATAACCTACGGACGAGAGATGAAAATTTTCTGATAGGCCACAAAACCTCTCTACCACAGCTAGTAGATGTGGGGCCGGGAAAGGCCCAGCTGCGGGGGGGAGGGAGGCCCGAGAGGGGAGGTCCCTGACGTGCGTGCCGAGTTCCAGACCCTTGAACACCAAGCACTTACACGTTTGGGATGAACCAAGGTTGAGTCTATTTGGAATGCTCTCACTTACTCTACACTAGATCCCACGCCAAGCACTTTTCCAGATTAGTAACTTCCAGATAGTCACCTGTGATTTCAAATATGAACAGAACAAGTCCCCACATTTCTCGGGAACCCAGGAACCCTGAAGGCGACGTCTAAAAGGGTTTTCAGTTCCTTGATGCTCTCAAACGTGAAAAAGAACCTCACTTTTGCAGACTGCACTTAACGGGAGCCTGTCACAGAAGGTGGCTTTCGTGTCAACTGCAGCTGGTCCTTCATAGTCCAGGGCCGGGGATCCCTAGGGGGCCTGGTGGTGCCTTCTCCAGGATCTGTGACCATCTTCCCCTTGTCTATGACCCTCTGCTAAGTATCACCGTGATGATCGTAGGAGTTCAAGCACATCAAGTGCTTAGGACCCTGCGTGGACCACAGCAAGTGCTTGCCAAGTGTGAATGAGCTGGGGGGCAGGGGTCTGGCTCGGGCCTGGCACTAGCCAGCTGAGTGGCCTCCGTAGTCTCCATGGGCTTCACTTCCTCACATGGACGAAGTGCGGGCCTCGGGAGGTCATTTTTAGTCTCGTCCAAAGAGCAGGCGGCTCTGTGATTCTTTGTAAAGTGTAATTTTAAATATCCAAGGACTGATCTTGGCTAAACAGTGAGATGAAGCCCTTTCCACCTCAGACATTCGATAATCACCTCTGTGAGGTTTATGGAAAGTACGCTAGCTCTCGCTCTCCTGCTAAGTCAGGTTTGTATTCTGAAGCTTAACTGCCAATTTTATCTTTTCATAAAACATGGAAGAAATCAGGCCTATCTCCAGCTGAAGTTCGGTGGTGGCCCTGTTGCTGTGAGCAGCCAGCAAAGCTCTGTTCCTCTTGGACAGCACAGGCCGGGGCCGGGCTGGGAGGATGGGTGGCCCCTGCCAGCCCGCGCCCAGCGCCCTTGCTCAGCGGGCGGCAGCCATCTGTGGGGAGCACTGGCAGGAAGACGCTGTGACTCACAGAGAAGCACAGAGGCTCCGGTAAGAGCCCCCGGGGCTGCTTTCCTCCCGTGGGCAGACCTTCGTCCTAGGGAAGGGCAGGGATCTTCAACTCCAGCTGTCTGTGCCAGAGCCACCTGGGGAGTTCTGAAAATCCCACAGCTCAGGCTACACACCACACCCACGAAGTCCACATCTCTGGGGGCAGGACCCTGGCATCCGTATTTAAAAAAAAAACCAAAAAACTTTCTAGGAGGTTCCAATGTGCAGCCGACGTTGAGAACCACTGAATTCAGAGGCCGTATCTGGGCAGCACCAGGTTTTAGTTGTGACCCAAGCATGTGGACTTGGGAACAGAAGTTCAACAGTAAGACATCTGTCCATAGGGGCACAGAGGGACATGGGCTGGACACTCGATTGCTTGGTTCTCCTCAAAGAGCCTCCCAAGAAAGTGAACTGTATCAACCGAGGCAGCAGATCTCGGTGCAGGGTTAGCGTGTAGATTCTGGTTCTGGCAGAGCTGAGTCCCAATCCTGCGCTTTGGGAATCTGGGAGCTGCGTGATCACAGGGCAGGCTTCCCCGCTGCTGAGGGGAAAGAATGCCAGCGTGCCCTGAGGCCACCAGAGAGATTTGATCACGCCCGGCCCGGAGAAGACGGCTGGGCCCAACCAGTCAGCTCTCACTCTGCCTTCTCATGACGAGACCTTGAGTTTGGGAGCTGTGCATCAATCCCAGCAGGCCCGGGGCCCGGCTCCGTACCGACTGCCCCCCAAACGAAGACTATCATAACCCAGAAAATGACACTTGACTCAGATACTGTTTGGAATAAAAGCTCCAAACTAGCAACACATTCTCCCTCTAGAAGAAAGGCAGAGAACGACGGCAATCGCCGCTTGGGAGATCCGCCACTTTTAGCTGGGGTCAGCTTGCTTTCAAGGGTCGGATGGGCAAGGACCATATTCCTGCCATTCAGAGTCCTGTGAATGGTATAAACGGGGAATGCTTCCTCTCCGGCAAGGCGAGGGAATCAAAAGAACCTCCCACAGCCAATTTTCCACAAATACAGTTTCATGATAATTCTCTCCTAGGTACTGTGAGGGTGGGGAGGCATTTCCCACGACGAGTGTTCGGTTGCATTGTGCAGCCCAGAGTGGGCTCTCTAGCAGTGAGGTGAGGAGGAGGAGGACCGTAGGCTCACCATTTTCCAGACGGCCCACCTCCACCTGCTTCTAAGAGCAAGAAATAAAAGCCTGTGGGGGGAAACCAACCCAAGGCACACAGGCGCTTGGATCATTCAGAGCTCCCCCAAGAGCTGCTGGGTTTAGGGGACTCCTCAGAGACACAGGAGGCCCCTCCTCCTGCCCTGCATCCTGAGGGCTGCCTTGCTCCACACCTGTCTCTGCCGCTGACCCCGGGGGACGGGGCCTCTGTCACACCTCTCATGCTCCTCCAGCCAGTCATACTGTTGCTGAACTCCAGAGATGTATGGGTTATTGATGGCCATGAGAGGCCTTTTATTTTATTTTTGCCTTTTATTTTTTTTTAAAAATATTTTTTGTATTTACTCGTTTGAGAGAGAGAGAGAGAGAGAAAGAGAGAAAGAGGAGGAGCAGAGGGAGATGGACAAGCAGACTCCCTGCTGAGTGTGCAGCCTGATGCGGGGCTCGATCCCACGACCCTGCGATCATGACCCAAGCTGAAATCAAGAGTCCGACGCTGAACAAACTAACCAGCCAGGGGCCCCCATAAGAGATCTTTTAAAACAAAGTTTCTCCAGGGAATTTTATCCCAAGTTCTGGGGATAAAAACCAACTTAAGGTTGGAGTAAAAATCCAATCTGTCTATAGAGTTTGAGAACAGTCATTTCCATGTCGAGTGAATACACAGTGGAATCTCTGCTTCTAGGAATGATGGGGTCTCGAGGAGGAACTCCCCCCACAGCATGGGGTGGGGGTTTAAGCCTTTATGAGACAAACACACCGGGTCCATGCAGACCCTGGTTTGAGTTTTATCAGCATTACAACTTATATTTCATCGCCATCACTCGCACCTCGTACTTTGCTCTTCGTGGGTAGGCAACATAGCCTTCTGTGACCTCCAGCCCAGCATCAGCTCCGGCTAAGTATTTAAAACCCTTTTTGTGGACAACTGTGTGTTTCTGACACTTACCATGTGTGAGCTCTGGGCAGTTTTTCAGGACTCCCCCATTGCTCTATTGTAAACAGCTGAGGACCATTGGAACCTAGACAAAGACAGAGAAATAAATAAATGCCAAGCACTGTCGAGGCAGGCGGACAACAAAGCCAAGGTGGGGCTTCAGGGAAAGGGAAGAAGGTGGGCGGGCGTGCCCAGGGGGAGCCGGAGACCCCCTCCCTGGCTCCCAGACAGTAGTGAAGACCTGCTGGGGAAGAAGCAAGAGGCCCGCACGGCCTCAGGGGGCACGGACCCCGCATCACTTAGGATTGCAGGCGCGCCACGTCAAAGAGCACGCAGGGGTGCAGACAGGTACAGCGTTGCTGCTGAACCCCGCAAGCTTACACATAAAGCTCCTTTCGGGGGGAGGAAACAAGCTTGACTTTTACTATGTAGAGCAGAAAGAGTGATTCTCTAACATCTCTACAGTAAGCACGGAGCAATTCAGTTTCCTGGAGGTACGGAGTCCTTCAAGATACACCACAATACAAAACAAGAAAAACAGAAAAGACCAACTGATCCCTGTACAAACCCGAAAGCGCCCCCCCATCCCGCGCGGGACCTGCAGGGGACACGCGCGCCTGCGGGGCCGAGCCTTGCCGGGCCACAGTGGACGCCTGGCTGCCAAGTCGCAAGAGGAGAGCGGAGAGTCGCACAGGGCCCCGCTCACCATAAAGTTCGGCGAAGCCGTTCATAGGTACTCGGGACGTCCCCGTGACAAACTGCAGTAACCGGATCCGCTTCTCGGCGTCCATGAGCAGCACAGCCTAGGGCCGGGGGCAGAAGGTGGTTAGAGCGCCGTGGGACACCCGGCACACGCTAACGCAGACACGCGGGACCCCATCGTCAACACGGCGGTGTCAGACCGAGACAGGTGACTGAAAACGGAGTCTTTTTCTTAATGGGCACCAGAATACCACCTGTGTCATCTCAGAGAATAAGAGGGATCACAATGTCTTTTTCTTCTTCCACCAATAGGTCAAAAGAAATGAAATACAAAGCGAACTCTTTGGTGGCACCGAGCTCATGTGTGTGGGGGCGAGGCGTGCCAGCAGCCCCCGGGCCAGTTACAGACATCCAGTGTTCGAGAAGCGCCGAACCAGGGAAACCCGGGTTACGGTGTGACATTTCAGACTGTAGACAAATTCTCTAAAGAGAACATTTTATTAAAAGAAAAACAGGGCACCTGGGTGGCTCAGTTGGTTAAGCGACTGCCTTCGGCTCAGGTCATGATCCTGGAGTCCTGGGATCGAGTCCCGCATTGGGCTCCCTGCTCGGCAGGGAGTCTGCTTCTCCCTCTGACCCTCCTCCCTCTCATTCTCTCTGTCTCTCATTCTCTCTGTCTCAAATAAATAAATAAAATCTTTAAAAAAAAAAAGAAAAAAGAAAAACAGAGGCCAGGATAGGCCCCTACAATACCCTGTGCATGCTACACATCTGAATCAGGACAGGAACTGAGCAGACCGTGGACCGGGCTTTGAAGAGTCTGCTTTTAACATTTTCTCTCTCTCCACTACTGCTGGCACTTGAAACAGTCTTTATAATAGAGATTTAGAAATTAAAACAAGTTATAGAAGTTCTTAAGTCTTGGAAGTAAGCAGTCAGCCCTTTTCCCCCCTGGAATTGTTATTTTTTAAAAAAAATCTTATTTATTTATTTGAGAGAGGGAGAGGGAGAAGCAGGTTCCCCACTCAGCAGGGAGCTGGATGCAGGGCTCCATCCCAGGACCCTAGGATCATGACCTGAGCCGAAGGCAGACGCTTAACCAAATGAGCCACCCAGGTGCCCTGAAATTGTTCTTTAGAAGGCAGTTTATGGTCTCTCCCTTGGACTCAACTCATTTCTATTTCACTTCTCTCCTAAGCTCAAGAGAAGGCAAACACTGGCCCTAAGACAGTAAATCACATTTCATTTGCATCTCTGACTGAAAGATGAAAAGAGCAAAATGTTTGTTGGAATTAACCAATAAAATGGGGAAAATGATTTTTTAACCAAAAACGGCATCTTGGAAAAGTCAGCCCCAAAGCACATTTTGCCCTGAGAAGCCTCCCATTCTTAGTCACACTTTGGCAGGCCAGTTTGGTCTCCTGTACCTACTTATCCTACTCGGTGGGTTCCTCAAAGAGAGCTGCTTTAGTCGGGTGGTTAAGGAAGGACAAAGTGCTTTGATAAGGATCGACCTGAGGCAGGGACAGCTAGCTCTCCACTAGAGCTATGGAAAAAGAGCAGGGAGGGCTGCTTTCTGCCCCCAGGGGTCCAACCGAGGCTGAGGAGCAGGACCACCCAGGCAGCCATGGCCTTACCTTCCAGAACCACTGAATGACAGGGTGGTTTGGGCAGTAGCCATTCTTGTAAATAGAATGTTGCCTCCAGTCGTTCACATCCACATCGCCAAGGCCGCACATCAGCAACTAGGAGGGAGATTGAGCAGACATGAGTGGGGCCCTCGTGAACGCTGCACAGATCACCCGTGGAGGAATGGCCTTTTCTCAACACTGGCATTTTGTCTTCTGCAAAGCAGGTAAGCTGGCAACTCTTAAAGACGCATGACGGGGACATCACTTTCCTGTCCCTTCAGATCAGAGAGGCAGCGCAGGTAAGGAGGGGGACCCAGTTCCAACGCGTGTTCAGGCCACGGCCTTTCGTGGTGGAAATGCCACTCCACGTCTGTCCCTGGCCCACGCCTCCAACATGGGCCCGGGGCTCAGATTTTCTTGCGCTCCCTTTACAGCTGCCCGTTACTCCAGCTGTTTGCCCTTCTGAGACCCTGTGTGTCTCAGGATGTGAAATGTCTCCCGACCCCCAGGGGAATCAGTGCTGGCAGCCCAGAGCTCCCCTCTGCCAGCTCGCTGACCAGAGGTGCGTGGGTGCAGACCTTCACTAATGCAGTGACCGGGTCTGCAACGGAGTCTGAGGCTCCTCCTGCTGCCTAACCCCCAAGCAGGGAAGGAGTCCTCGGGGAAAAGTGAGCATGATATTCCTGCAGAGGCACCAAAGAAAAATGGAAGGAGAAGCAAACCAGAAGGCAGAGAATAGATCCTAGGCCTGACTGTGCCCAAACCTTGTTGGGTAAACCCAGAAGGTTCTTAACTGCTGCCCCCAGCTCAGTTTCCCCACTTATAAAACCAAGGGCTCACACTATAGGATTTTGACATCATCTGTCTTCAAGTTTCTATTTCACAAAGAAGAACAGAAAGCTAGTCTGTGAGACATGGTTTATCGGATATGTGGCCTGGACAAATGGGTGACAGGTTCTCCAGACACAGCCTCCTCCTTCTATTTCTCTCAACACAACACAGGGTGAGAGATCCCTGTGCTTTTTAAGTTGCTGGTTTTCCTCTAGGTCAACACAAAGAAGTTGAAACAATCCAATGTAAACTGCCTCCTGCTACTACCTTGTTGTCTTCTGAGGTTCTTCCTTATGCAATATAAACCAGGTCAAGTTCACAGAGACGTCTGTTCCACAGCCCCTGCTGCTCACGTCCTGGCCAAGGTCACATGACTACCACCGTGTGGGGAGGAGGTGCAGGATCTCAGCTGCTGCCCCAACTGGATGTCCCAACCATGATTGTATCAGAAGCAATTTTCCTTACCTGGTGCTCCTGGCCATGAACCCAACCCAGCTCGGTGGGCCTCTACTTGTCTGGTGTGTCCCAGAACTACTCTCTCCTGGGTGAGGAATCTACAGCTGACTACTTCCACTATTCCCTACTTGAAGATCGACACATGCACCCCATAAGAGACATAGAGTAGAATCCATCCCAGCTTACTCCCTAGGACATCATGGGCCAGAGAATAATAAAATACCATTTAAAAATATCTAACTTTACAGAAAATGTTTAAAATACAAACCTCCAACTCATTTTCATCAAAAATTTTAATCAAATCAATAGGAAGCAGTTCTGTGAATCCCTGAAAGAAAAAAAAAGTCACCCTGAGATATATTTTTCCTTGAAAGAGACAAATTTTACAGAGAAAACAGCCAGGAAAAATCACATTTTTTGCTGATTTATAGATCAGCGACAGTATCCCATAACTGTAGTTCTAATAAAAACAGCATAGTCCCAATGTAAAAATTTAGAAAGGGAGGAGAATCTAGAAGGTTCAGGTATTTGAGCAATTTCAGAAGCCCTCTGAAACTATGGGTTACTGTAGGCAGGCAAATTCCAAAAGCCATTTATGACATAGCTATGAGTCAGTATGTCCTAGAACGCATGAGCCACGAATGTGCAAGAGAATATGTTTAAAAATAAGGTACTGAAGGCACAGAGATGAACTACATAAGGAGGCGGTGTGATCCAGGAGGGGAGAGAGGAACGCAGAGACCCCGCTCTAGTTCCAGGGTTCACAATGACCACCGGACTGGTCTGGTGAGATGCTCCATGCTGCTGGGCCTCGCAGGTGTCTGGTTTCTGAAAGTGGGATCACCTGGGGCAGGGCCAGCACGGAGCCTCCCGGGTGTCTTATGTAAATGAAGTATGAAACCTGCTGTCCTCTTGTAGGTCTAACTCACATTTTATGCCCCAAGTCCCTGAATTTTTTGAGTGTTCTGCCGGGCTTGGGGCTTTACTGCAGGTGACTGAGCTGAGGCAAGCCGAGGAGAGCGTTGCCCAGTGAGAACTCTGCATTGGTTCAGTGGGAATTTATAATGTACACTTGGGGCTTGTTCCTACCTTCTCTTTACATAACTAAACCTGTTATCAAGACTTAAAAAGGGGTTTTACTTTTGGTCACAGTGAACCATTTTTTAAAGATTTTATTTACTTATTTATTTGAGAGAGAGAAAATGAGCAGGGAGAGGGGCAGAGGGAGAAGCAGACTCCCCGCTGAGCAGGGAGCCCGATGCGGGACTTGATCCCAGGACCCTGAGATCATGACCTGAGCCGAAGGCAGACGCTTAACCGACTGAGTCATCCAGGTGCCCCCAAACTGAACCCTCTGTAAAATAAGGAATCCCGCCACCCTCTGCTAGGGGCCTGGGAGCATCGCTGACATTAAATATTTGGATCTGAGGAGTGGCTGCTTCACCCTCTAATAGGAGGAAGTTGGCACAACACAGGTCGGTGTTAAGACAAAAACCCAGCCGAAGACAATGTGTTTTCCATGTACCTGTGTGGAAGCAGAGTCTGTGAGGGATTCAAGGAGAAGCAGGGCAAGAGACCACCAGATGAAGAAAGGGTGGCTGAGTGCTCCAGGCCACCAGCATCCCCACCCCAAGGACCAGAGCCCTCCTCTCTCACCCCAGGACTGAGGGCGCACAACTTACCTCCAAGAAGGCGTTCATTTGCTTTTGGACCCTGTTCACAAACCTCCACTGGATGACCAAGCTGCGGGAGCAACAGGAGAGTAGTGAACCACCCTCGTCACCGCGAGCCCCATTTGCTTCCTCACACCTTCTCACCCGGGGAGGGGAGAACAGAGGAACCCCCACCGTGGCGGACAACAGGGAGGGTGCAGAACCACGGTACGCTGGATTCAGTAATGCTTTCAGGAGTAGCTGGGAACCTAAACTCAGAGATCATTTATTCCCCCCCACCCCTGATCAAGCCTTAGTTTAGCAAAGTTGCCTACAGATAGAACTACGGGGACAGAGAGATAAAAAAGGTCGTGGAGTGTGAATATATATGTGCATCATGCATGCACATGCACGCACATGCAAACTCACGCAAACACACACCCACCTCTGCATAAACGTGTACATAGATTTTTTTCCCCCTTTTTTTCAGGTTTCATTTATTTATTTGAGAGAGAGAACAAGCAGAGGGGAGAGGCAGAGGGAGAGGGAGAAGCGGGCTCCCTGCTGAGCAGGGAGACCGATGAGGGGCTTGATCCCAGGACTCTGGGATCATGACCTGAGCCCAAGGCAGACGCCCAGCTCACTGAGCCACCCAGGCGCCCCTAAACACGTACATATGTTTTTAAAAGGAGTATCTAGTACAACATTTTGTGATACATTTCGCTCTGGTGTCCAGTATACTGTTTTCAACAATGACACCTAACTTATCAGCAAAATGGTTTATGCTAATCCTTTAATGCCAAAATTTGGAGGATTAATGATAAGACCTCTTGAACAGAAACCATTTTCTCTGTGGTGATGTTTCGGGCACAGCAGAATCTAAGGCTAGGTGAATCCATGCTGGACTCCAGTGGAGGCATTTTGTCGTGAGACAGACCGAAGGCCTCCATAAAGGGCTCTCCCTGCGAGGTGCCACCATGGCTACGGCCCTCCAGGCCCAGCCCCTCTGCACACGCCCTGTTCAGCCGCCTGGGGCTTCACCGCACTGCTCAACCATCAGCCCCAGAGCCTTCCTGCACCCGAGGGGTACCCGTGTGCCGGGGGGCGGGTGGAGATTTTCACCCTCCTTTCTTTTTCAGTGAAGCCGCCTGCAACTCTGTCCAAGGCCACCCCCCAGCAAACCTGAAACCTAAAGGAATTAACGGCAAAGGATGATATACCACATGTATCAAATGTCCAAACCCTCAGACTTCAGGCCCTAATCCCCCCTCAGAGGCAGTGTTTTTAAAAATCCATTCAAAGCCTGTACTTTCAAATGAAGACCATGGCATCTGCCGAGGTGGCGTCCAGCCTGCTGAGATTGTCCAAATTCAGAACAAGTGTGCCAATTAACGTGAACAGGTAAGGACTGTAGTGTCTTATTCCTAGGTGGGGTTTTTTTTTTAAAGCACAGCAAGCTTTTAACTTGGGAGGACGGGCGGGGAGGGGGCATGTCCGCTAAGCATGCGTTGTCAGGGTCTCTAAGTAGTGACTGGCTCCAACACTGTCCATTTCTCCCTAATTAGGAAGGATGGGTTTTTCTTCGTAGAGGACACTAGAAGACGCCAAGACTCTAGGCCAATTCTTCACATTCAAGTCTTCGGACCAATTCCGTTGAGCAGGGAGGAGGGAACCCGCTTGTCGAATGCAGACACTGGGACCCGGGCACCAAACACCGCTGTGCTGACCTCAGCCCTGCACCCGGGCTAGCGAGGGAGATCCGGACTTGTGTGCGTGAAGCATACATACGTACCGAAGAGGAAATCGTGTAATGTGCCCGACAGACAAAGGCCTTCTGGCCAGCACAAATGCCCTAGGATTGCTTAACAGCTGGATTTCCAAAGGACTAAACATTTTGTTCCACCACTGAGGCTAAGATTGGGTTAAGAAAATCATAAATATCAGAAATAATTCACTGTGTTTGCATATGTGGATTTTCTTACCCATTTTAACAATTTTCTTACATTTTCATTACGGAAAAGAAGTCACTAGAGAGAGGAAATATTTTATTTCTGGTTGTTCCTTATTTTACCCCACTGGTTGTTGACACTATGTTCCAACAGAGCAAATCTCAATTTTAGACTACATATCACATCCTCCAAAAGCATGTTTGTCATATTACTCAATTCTGTACATTTTTTTCTCCTTTTATGACTCCCTCATAAGGCAGCTCACTGAAGTCATGATACAAGGCCCAACTTTCCATCTTATAATTTGACTTCCTATTAGCCCAAGCCAGAAAGGAACTCATATTAGTGAAAGTGTGCCCACAACAGGCATGAGCTGTTTTAGAAAGGGACATCAACCAAACAGCTGTTCAATTTAATAAAAGGTTGTAAATCTGTGTATACGTACTCAATATATTCCCTCTTGTTTTCATTTGTCACCATTATTTCCGACCCATTGGGCTTCAGATCCACTTGATAGGTCTGTAATTGCAAAAATAACACAACAATCACCATCATGAAGTTACTTTGCACATTACTGAGTAATAATGTCTTACCAAACAAGATAAGCAACATTCATTCAGAAAGACTTTCCAACAGATGGGCTCTGAGTCTAAGAGAATATCTAACGAGGCTTTTAAACCTTTGAGATGTTACACATGTAAAGATGTTATCAAAGGTGAATTATTTTGAGGTTATTTATGAGTTTTAATTATCTTTATTGTATCTTCATACATTACCAACAATGGAGGAGAGCACCATTTTGTCACCTATTCATTTATCAAGAAATTAATCACGTGTAACAGAAAAGACAGGGAACACTCAAGACTACCGAAATCCAAATTCTAATGCACTTTCTGAAAATTAGATTTTATAGTCATAAAAGATGATGCATGAATTTCTTTCAAAAAGGAGAAACATAGGGACTTAAAAAAAAAAAAAGGGGGCAGCTTAAGAAGCAAGGCTGAGGGATGGATTTACCTGCTGTTCTGAGAACCCTGGCTTTCTATGTGCATCCGGACACCTCCTTGCTCACTGCCTGGACCAGCTCCCTCCCACAGGGCCACCTAGCACTGTTAAGAAGAGCAAAGCGGCTGAAAGCAAGCATGGCCTTCTTCTGTGCCTCCGGCCGGCCCTAACTCAGTATCATGCCGTAGAAAGCAATAACTAGCAGAAAGCAAGGGAGGAAGAGACCTTTTTTTTTTTTTTTTAAATAAAGTTTACTCTCATAGAAATTTTTTTTTTTTAAAGATTTATTTATTTGACAGAGACACAGCGAGAGAGGGAACACAAGCAGGGGGAGTGGGAGAGGGAGAAGCAGGCTTCCCGCAGAGCAGGGCGCCTGATGCGGGGCTCCATCCCAGGACCCTGGGACCATGACCTGAGCCGAAGGCAGACGCTTAACGACTGAGCCACCCAGGCACCCCTCTCATAGAAATTTTAAAAGAAAAAATTACCACCCACAAGTCTCCTATTCAAAGATAGCCACATTGATGTTCTGCTGGGATCCCTTTCTTTTCTACGCAGAACTGGCTATTTCAGAGAGTGAGGGTTTTCCAGAGTAAGTCTGCGGGTCACATCCATCATGAGGGAGAAGAGATTCGGATTGGCAATGAAATCTGCTGCTCGGGCAGGGGTCCACCGTCAGCGATGCCTCCCCTGCTGGCCTCACGTGCCCGGGACAGATGGAGCCTCTGTGACCCAGACACGCAGCCCGTCTGCCTCCCAACAGTCTCCTGATTATGTGCGGGATCGCTGCTCGAGTTCGGGGTTTTCAGTCAAAGCATCTAATCCTTTTACGTTTCCTTCTTTCTCCTTTTCCTCTTATTCAGGGAGTGATCTGGCGTTTCTACCCCATGACTGAACTCCACGCTCTACAATGTCACTCCAACTCTCTACCATCCACGATGTGGATTTCAACTGTTACCGTATTCTTAGTTTTCTTTGAGCCCCTCCTTCCTGCCCGCTTTCCCCTTTTCCATGGCTGTCCTCCCGTCTGCCTGGCTCTCCCTGTGATCGCCTGCCTGGCCTAAAGAGGCCCTGGCAATCCTCAACGATGGTGGACACTTATGCTTAGCATGTGAGGTGGGGACGTTTCTTAGAATAGAACCGACCGTATTCATTTATACTGCTGCATTTTTAAATAAGCTCCTCATGGTTTTTCCTCTTCTCCCCCAAAGACGGTCTCCCTATTCCCTTTCAGTAATGGGAGTTTTCCCGTCAGATCCACACCAAACAAGTTAATAAATCCAAGCCCAGTTCTTGGTACTGAGAGGTCTTCAGCACAGCTCAGCAATACTAAGAATTTTTTCCAGGAGCTGCAATTTCCAGAGAGCTCTGGAATGAGAAGACCGACCTCAGAGAGCGAGCATGCGGGAAGGGCAAGGAGAAAAACCCCTCTGGTGCCTCCAAAAGCCAACACCCAGTGAAAGGGAGGAGAGAGCCCACACTGCTGACTGCAGAGAAACCAGTCTTCCCTACACCGTTGGTAGGAGTCTAATAGCTTCAGCCTTTGGGGAAGATAATTTGGCAAGAGGCATCAAATTTTAATTTGCACAGCATCCCTTGTCATAATACTTTCTCTTCTAGAATTTATACCAAGGGAAAGAAATTGGCCAGATCAACAAAATGTATATTCCAAGATTATAATCATTATGCTGCCTATATATAGCAAAATCCCGAGCTAGCCTGCATGCCCAGCAATGGGGCATGGTTAGAAAAGATACGGTCTAAGACATGGAATTCAGTGTAGCCATTAAAATGAATGACCTCGACATTTCCTGACACGGAAAGGTAGCTGGGATATATTAAGTTAGAAGTGTATGTATCGTACAAGTTCATTCTGTAAAAATAAAAAATCTTGTTTGCATGTGATTATGAAGAGTAATTCTGGAAGACAGAAATCAAAAGTTTAATCGTGAATTTTCTCTAGGTGGTAGGAGCTATGGATGATTTTTATTGTACTGGCTTTATGTTTATTACTTAAACATAGTCTTTATGTTTTGTAATCAGATAAATACCATCGTTTTTGAAGGAAAAAAGAAAGGGACCGTGCTGTCTGTGTTACGTCAGGAGGTTAAGCAAGCAGTCAGTCTGTGGGCAGCCGTCTGGTTCTCTGGGTGACTCTGACTGCGGGTCCCTTGGGGAGGCGGTGCTGGGGGCTCACAGGCAGGCAGAGGAGGCTGGTTTCCAGCTCTTGCTCCCAGAGCCTGGCCATCCGTGTCTCTCAGTTCAGTCCAGTTCTCTCCTACTCGGGCTCCTCACTGACAACACCTGAGGGGGAAGTAGTGGGGGCTCTTCCAATTCCACGTTTTCAACTGGCTGCCAAGGGCCAGGCACAGCCCACTTCCCATGGTCCGAGTGCAGGGTTAGGTTCGTCACGGGGGAAATCACGGAGCGGTCCCCACGAGGCAGGTGCCATGCCCCCGTTTCCTCGCTGAGACGGAGACTCAGCAGGAAGTGGAGAGTGGCTTCCTCCCACACCACCGTCTCCCCACCACACCGAATACATACTTCCTCTCTGTGAACACCTGGCTTCTGGGCCAGGGTCATCGTTGTCTTGTGTCTGAACTCAAGGACCCAGGATGAACAACACTAACACAGCGCCTGCACACAGGAGGAGCTCAGTATGTGCTTCTGGAAAAATCCTTATTCTTTTTTAAGTCTACTGGCCTGAGTACGAAGTTACCCCTCTTCATAAAGACTATACGTTAGATCAGAGGAACCTCTGAGGAGATGGGACTCACACATCTAGACTCTCTTCCTTGGCAGGTTAAAGCTCCAGATTCACACTCCTCCCACCAGATCGTTGAACGATGCCTTACGTCGAACGTCCGAGGAGTCTGCTGAGAAACTGTGTGGATCCTATCGAGTGAGTGGGACTCGGGCAGAGCCAGGTTCGCCTGCCTCTGGCCCCATCCTTGGGTGCGCTGCTCACTGCTGGGTGAACACCCGCCTGCTGACAGGACACGTGCCCCACGAACCCTGTGGGATGAGCCTCAGGGTCCAGGCAGACATGAAAGCGAGCCACGGGGCCGAGGCATCTGAGTCAACCGCCCTTCTACCTTCTTCACGTTTCCTACAGGTGTCATCTGTCTAGCTCCTCGACCTGGTCTTTGAGGAGCCAGAGCCTCTGGCCAGCCCCCCGCCCCTGGAGGCACCCCCACATTAGGCTCTTGGTCTGGTTCTTCCCAGCTTCGGCCAAGATCCTGCCCCCTGTCTGTTGCTCACCTTTCCTCCTAGATCCAGTTTCTGCCTTTCACTCATTTTCTTCCCCTCTGCAGTTTCTCAGCCTTTTTTTTCATTGTCGCCCCTTAAGAGCCCTTTCAGACCCCCTCCCCCTTTCTTCCCATTAAGTCTTCATAAACAGATCCATCCTAATCCCGAGGCACATACTGTGGCCTTTTGGGAGCGCCACAAGCCACCGTTAATAGCTGAGCCTTTTTTGTTCTCCAAGAGCTAGTTTCCCCCCCCTTGGGGGTGATATCACCCCAGCTGAGAATGTATGCCTTCACCTAACTTATGCCTGGTCCTAAGAATTTTCCTGCAGGCTGCTGCCCAGGCTCCTAAGAGTCCACACTTCTGGTCTTCAAAACCACCCGATCAGATGCGAAGTTGCTGAACCGGCAATAACGAATTCCTACTTATTACAGCTCTGAAAGAGTGCCTCCTCCTGCGGGTGTGGGTGCGTACGTGCGCCCAAGTGCTCGGTTTATTCCTCCTGCTCGGCCAAGGATGACTGTTCGACGCTTCAATCTGTTCATCTGAGACATTCACAGGATGCCCCAGAAACCTGCGCCTCCAAGTTCTCACCAACCAGAAAGAAAACACCGCACAATAATGACCACAGCCGGGGTTTCTTTCCGCGAGACGACAGTTGCCACCCGACTTCACGGCCTGATGTTTCCAGTTGCGGAATGAAAAAACAAACAAACAAACTGCTAACAGCCCCGAGGAAGGCCAGCTGCACGGACGGTCCACGTGTGTGGAGACTTCACGCCGTTGAAGAAATGACCATGTTCTGGCCCAAGGGAGGCGTGCGCTTCCTCTTGGGTTCAAGTAAAAGGCAACGCAGTGAAGAGCTGTGCAGAGGGCTGGAGGAGGGGAGACGCGGGGACATCAGTGGACACCCACGCTGGTTCCACCGCTCCCCAGTCCCAGGCGCTGTGCTGCTGAGTGCACGGTGGCCACCAAGACGCATACCCAGCGCTGCCGCCACCAGCCTGCGCTTAATGCCCCACACCTAATCATAGAAATAAATGCACAGTCACCCATGCTATATGCCACAGGGAGACATGGACGCACTCTGAAGTATTATGGCCTGGGGTCAGGGTTGGTTTCCTTGAGGAAGGGACTGTCTGAACAGCAGGTGGGAGGCAGTATGTTCCCAAGAGATGGACTGGCATGAGCAAAGGTCCTGAGGCAAGAGGGAACTTGGTGTGTTCAGGAAGTCCAATGAGACCTGGCCAGAGAGCACGAGGGGCAGCTCTGTGATGCAAAAATGCATCTGGAGACAGAGGAGATGGGGCAAGGCCATGCGGGACCTCAGGGGGCCAATCAATGATCTGGATCTTTATCTTTCAATGTTTCTGGCAGAGGGATGACGATTTTTAAGTCCTGAAAAGACCAGTCTGCCATTAAAGGAGAACAAGGTGGATATAAAAGCCCAGCTAGGAGTCTATGAGACAGGATGGTAGCTTAGACTCGGGTGTTGGAGGAGTGGGAAGGGAGAACAGACAGATTTGAGACGTATTTGGGGGTTAAAGTGAACAAGGCTTGGGGAAGGACTGGAAATGGGAGATGTGATCAATATGTGGCTGCTTAATTCTCTCTCAGTTTCTTCCCAGAATGCAAAAGAGAGAACACTAGTTCCCTGTTAGTCAGGTTAGCTCTAAAAAGGGAAGCGGCAATTTAACAAATAGGGCGCCTAATCATTCTCTTACTCCTCCTGTGAGTCTCTTTCGATTACTGCATTACTCCACCCGATTCAATCCAAAAGTCAGAAGAACCTACAGCATCAAATGAGGGCTGAGAATTGTTTTTAATGAATAACTGATATGAATTATAATGATCATCAGAACTTTTATTAGAAGTCTACTTAAAAATCCCAACATCGTGTGTTTGGGTGTCATTTATTAGGCGGAAACAGCTCCATTTAACTGTCACTAAGGCAGCTTCCCCAGCACATCTGCTTCCAGCCCTGGCATTGCTAACATCTTCTGAACTGTGGTAAGTCAGTCATATGGTTTTCTATATAAGTGGATATAAAGGGTTTTTATGTTTTGTTTTGTTTTTTTGCAGTCAATACACAGGATCGATTTTAAGTCTTCCTTGGTTCCTTATTTCTACTCCTTCCTCCCTGTGTTAGAAATGAAAGGAAGATAGAGTTCCAGGATGATTATCCATGTGTTACCCTTGGAAAATTGGCAGTTAGCACCCTTAAATAGGTCCAGCTTAAAAAACGAAGTCATTGAGTTATTTTGTTTTCTCACACTCAGAGCTTCTGTTACTTACAACATTATTAACAGTTAAAAAAAAAAATAAAAACAAAACTAGGTTAGTGCCATTCATTCATTTGCTCGATAAGCATTTAGCAGGTCTCAGCGGCCGCTGAGCACCAGAAAGACCAAGGCGACTGAGGTCAGCTCATAGAGGATAGTGGATCCGTAATGACTGGGGAACAGCCTGAGAAGAGTTTGGGGAGAGGGGATGACACTGTGCAGGAATGTGGAGGGCGCTGCACAGACAGGGAGCTTGCCCAGAAGTGTCTGTGCAGACAAGGTTATAGGTATGCTATGGTTGTCAGGGTGAGCAAGTGGAGGGGTCAAAAGATCAGGCTAAAGGTGGGCAGTGCCGGATCATAAGCTATGCTAAAAAAAAAAAAGGTTTCAATTTACCCTGAAGGTCACAGAAAGGTCAACCAAGAATTTTTAAGTAGACAAACTGCATGTTTGTGTTTGCTTTCTAAGACAGTGAACCCAAGAGGACAGGCACCTGATTTCCTAGCTTCACCTACATAACTGAGCACTGCAATGTAAAGTGAGCATTTTTGACAGAAGAGTACACTTTTAACAACCTCTGAAGCAACAAGGAAGATCAGTTTCATTTTCCATATGGCAACCCTTCAAATGGGCTCCATTGTCTCATTCATTTCAAGGTCATGTAGATTTTCTCTGGGACATGGGAACCGTGTCTGGGCTTTTGTGAAAGGACAGGTACCAGGGCTGGATAAATACCTGCAACAGACCTCACAAAAAGCACCGTGATCACCAGGAACAAATGAATAGAAGGTTTCGGGTTTAAGACAAACACACCCTATGGAACTTTAGGACAGTGATGAGAATTCCCAGCAGGCATTATGTTTGACATAGACCTTTATGATGAATTCAGCCTAATGACAGTGTGTATGCAAAGCAAGAAGGGAATGCTAGAAAAATCCGAGCCTGCTGAGCCCAAGACAACTTTCATCATGACCATAGAACCCTTAAAGGTCCCGCCAAACATCACCTCTCCTGGTCATGTACTTAAACCACTACTTCAACACACGATTTTTTGAAGTACTTAAATTCTAAAACCAAGGCCTAAACACTCACATTCCGATTTGCTTTAAGTGAGAAGGAGATGGGCTTCACACCCCAGAGGCCTCAGAATCTCTAACTTGGCCGGAAGAGCGGAAGAACTTAGCTTCCTGGCAGGACAAGGAGGAACCCATGTAATGAGATGCTAATTAACATCTGAAGCTCTCAGAAGTGATTTTAATTGTCCAGCGGAGTCCTGTTATTGCCCTTCCGTGAAGAAGCAAAGACTCTGAAGTCAAAGAGGGAGTCCCGGGGAGGCCCACACGTACCTGTCCAAAGTTTTCTTCATCGATACAGAACATGAGGTCCAGTTCAGTAGGATCATTTTCCAAGATCCACTTCAATGAGTTGTAATATTCACTATCCTATAGAAATGATATAGAAATTAAGTTTTCCTCCCCAAACACAAACTCATTTGACTTCTTCAAGTCATTAAGTCTTTTTAATGCAATTCCCCTCAGAATGTTCAAAGATTACTAGTCACTAATAGGTTTCTTGCTCTGCTCCAAATCTACTCTTCCCCTGTAATTTAAAATACAAACCAAACCAAAAAAATGTTTTGGTAGTCAGGAGGGGATTGGACGTGAATCCTGTCCTCCGTAAAGGGTAGAGGAAGCAACCTGCTCTGGATTGGCAGAAGGAACATCAAGTTGACCATGGAGAGATCAATATACTTCCGATCTTTTAAGGGTGAAAATATCAGAGGAAAACAGGAAAGACAGAAAATGTTCTACTTAAATACCAACGATTTTATACCCCCTTCCTGTGCTTTTATTGCTCTCTGCAAGTCCTGTAAGCAAACAGGAAGGCTGTGCTGGTGTCAAAGCCAGAACACAACCCACAGGGACCTGGGCTCCTCTCTCTGGGGCCCAGGGGCTCCTCCACTGGGGACACACCGGACAGGCTCTGGGAAGGCAGAAGAGGATGCGTGCACCAACCGTCAACAGGTGGTATAAAATTTAGGTTTAGAAGAAATGTCTATGTTCCCAGCTCCCTCATTCTATTATAATAAAAGGGTAAGTTAAAGGTGGAAGCTTTGAGGCTGCTACTGGGGTTCTGTGTAGCAACTTGCCCACGGAAAAACCAGCTGAGTGGACTCAAGTGCACTGTGGGCGTCATCCTCTTCCTTCACACAGAGATGATGCGCAGAGCTCCGATGAATGCTGGTAAACGAGGAGGATACGGCTCATCTGCCCAACTACCTAGGAGTCACCATCGACACCACAGCGAGGCCAAGGGGATGCACGTGCTTTCTCATCAAGTGACAGGCTATGAAAGCAGAGCTGCAATACCCCAAGTGGACAAAGAGCTTCCTGATGGCCCTGTGAATGTGCACTGGCACTTGGGCAAACACCCCCACGCTCGGCTGGAGCGGCCCGGTGGGGCGATGGGCAAATTAACAGAAAACCAGAAGCAGCAAGTACCTTATGAGAAGAGTGTCACTTTTGTTTTTATAGAAAATCCTTTTGACCCTAAAATGGTCAGCCTAGATAAAATGGGTAAGTTGACTGCAATGGGAAAGCCCAAATCATGTTTCAGAGTGTCTTCTAGCATCCTTTTCTAACTGGGTTCATCCCATCCCCGGCACCGAACTGGTCACTTCCATATCTGGAAGTGCTCTTCCCTTTAGCTACGTTTTGGCCTGCGCTCCTGCCATGTTTTGAGATCAGAAAACAGAGGGATAGCTGATGAATCTCGAAACATTTGGATCAGCGGTTTTCGAAGGAGAGTAAGAGCTGCAGTGAGACCCCCAGATGACCCTTGGATTCAGTTTGGTCAAACCAGTTCCAGGGAAGTGAGGTGGCTGAGACTGGAGTCTACCCACCTCGAGCAGCACGATTCTAGGAAATGTGAACAACGATTTACTTATTAGAATTTAGGGAGCTCAATTAACTTCGTGAACAAGTCAACGTTCCTTGTTCATAGTGAATGAAAACACCATCACTTCTCGGCCTTTTGGCTAAGATCAAGTGTGAATGAAAACACCCACAAAAATCACTGCAACTACAACATGGTCTGAGCCACCCCTCTGCGAGGCAGAGGGGCCCATGATGCCCAGGGGAGTGATCTATATTTACTCACCACAGATTCCATGTCATTCAGAGTTATCTGCTTTCCCAACATCATTTTGTAAAACGGTCTAATGAAGAAACCTAAGAGAGGGAGGAAAAATATGGGTTAGTTCTCAAAGCTGTGATACTGCTGAAATAAAAAATGAAGCTGCCCTCAGGCTGAATGACAGGCCAGGCCTGGCCTAGGGGAAGGCAAGGCTCAGGCCGGACAGTACAACAGGAAGGGGTCTAAAGGCTTCTAAGGAGGGAGAAAAAAAGTCAGGGCCAAGCGGGAGTCTGCAGCTCAAACAAGGCACATGAACAAGAGGACAAAAGAGCAGTGGAAGCGGAGGGGACAAGACAGACTTGCCAGGGGTGGGCTGGGGTGAGGACAGGCCAGGGAGGGGACTGGGAAGCACACAGCCGGCAGGGGGCGCTGGAGAGTCAGGCCGCTGCCTGTGGGGCTCAGGTGTCATGGAAAAGCCAGGTGAAAATTTCACCTGCACTTGGAGATCACTGCCTTGGCAGTAATGGGGAGAAAACAAGGAAGGGGGCAAGTGGGAGACGAGGGAGACCACACAGAAGGCTGTGCAGTCTTCCAAGGGCGGGGGATGAAGGCCTATGGCGATGGACTCCACCACCACAGAGGTGGCCCGCAGGGACCCTGATTTGCCATCCCCAAGGGCAAGTCAGCATCCCTTGGGCACCACCTCCTCCCAGGGGGCCCTTCTCCCCCTCCTCCTTCAGCCTCACCCCCCTGCCCCATCCAATCTGTCACAGTGTTCTGCTGCATATTCCCCATCCTGCTGGCTCAATAACCTTCAGGGTTCAGGGAGGTAAAAGGTAGTAAAAGGAGGAAACCAGCAGAAGGCAGCGGTGGGCTGACCTGCAGAGCGCACAGGCTCTGCCTACAGGGGGCACTCACGTTCTGATCACACACCCAGGGGCCCTCTGGCTCTTAACTCCGCAATTCCTGAGGTACACTGTTGTCCCCAGTGTGGCAGTCTCCTCCACTCCCTGACATGTTCCTGCCCCTCCCCGCTACTCCTTCCATGGAGCTTGGCTCTGAAGTGATCCCAGCTTCGAAATGCATAAATCCTACCCCACCCTCAAGGTGATACACAGCTCGGTCAACACACTCCCTGGCCCTCCAGCCAAGCCGCCTTCTCCTCGGCCTGCTCCTTGTGCCCCCTTCTGTTGCTGTGATTCTTCTGCTCCCCACCATCCCCCCGCCCCAAGAGAATAGAAGTTCACTGAGGTCAGGATCCTATCTTCTACTTTCTAGATTTCTCCAAAGCAACTAAGAATGCCTTCTCACTTGGCAGAAGGTAAATAAACAGACCTCTAAGAAGGCTTAAATGAATCTGCATAGGCTGAAATAATCTATGGCATGACTCCAAAGTTGCAAATTAAAAAATATTTATACACACACTATGTATATGTATATATTTTATATATACATAAATAATGACTGTGGTTTCCTTCAAATCAGAAAAACAAATGCTTACTTTCCCAACCAAAAATAAAATATGAAATCAGAGGATCAAAAATCAGCTAGCAATTACCAGTGAAAATGTATTGAAGGGAAAAGTACAGAGGGCACATCAATTATTTTTTGGAATAGCTAAGGTTCCATAAACACAATTAACATAATTCCCCATAAAGCCTCATTTTCTATGGTAATTAAAATTTTGTCCCAAATTGTACTCTCTGCCTTCTATCCTCAACTGTTTCATGCCCAAATTCTTAAAAAAAATAGATATTTTTGAAGATTTTATTTATTAGAGAGAGAGAGAGAGAGAGCGCGCTCGTGTGGGGAGGGGTAGAGTGAGAAGGACAAGCAGACTCCTTGCTGAGAACAGAGCCCTTTGCGGGGCTCGATCTCATGACCCTGAGATCATGACCTGAGCTGAAATCAAGAATCGGACACTTAACCGACTAAGCCACCCAGGCCCCCTCTTCAAAAATATTTCAGATTCAATTTCCTCACCGATTATTTCTGTGATGCCCTCTTATGGGCATTACTTCTGAAGTGACTGAATGCAGAAGAGGTCTCTACTACCAAGAATCCTATAGATCCAGCCAGGAAGGGAGTCTGACTTCTAACTTTAAGTATACCTTGAAATTCTTCCATGGCTTATATGCTCTAAATAATAGAGAGATTCTTTTGTGCCATCTGTTTTAGCAGTGATCCTAGGGTCAATCTCTTCACTGAGTGATAACATTGCTTTGAAATTATTTACAATCTCTTCACATTCAAAAATAATAATTTGGGGACAAACGGAACAATAGCGGGATATTGGATGGATTAGATCATTTTAATTAACTTTTCAATTAGCTTTTCCATCTGTCACCAAATCTACCTCTTGTTAAAAAAAAAAAAGTTATTCTGGAAAACATAGAAAATGTGCAAATACAGAATATTCTGTGCTTTACACTGTATTTAAACTGTGTAGACACTATGTCTTCAGTGCTCAAATTAGGATGACACCAGGGAAAAGCACCTCTTTTATGGGCAAACCAAAAAACTGATTTATCCAATTACAGAGAATCAGTGAAACTTTTGCTTAACATCGTGATGTGAAAGATAGGACACCTGATAAGGAACCACAAATGGCACTGTCCTATTTTGGTTACTTTGTGACATTTCAGTAACTTACCATCCAAAAGTTTGCCATGAAATACTGCCAGACCAGCAACTCTTCCAATGAAAGTAAAATAGGACAAATGGTCTTCATTACAGAGGCCTGAATTGGGGTTGATCTGAAGTGTGTAGTTGTCCCTTTGGGGAGGGAGAGACAGGTAAAGCACAATCATACTTTTAAATAAGAAATTCAATGACCTGAATTCTCCTTTGCCACCGGTCCTTTGACTTGCACAGTGCACCTGCAAACATTCTGTACCCAATGGGAAAAGGCGTAACAGCCAGAGAACACGACTTACTGTTTAGTTAGCCCCTTTGTGACTGACTGAGGTCTAACAGAGCAAGTGCACATGCCCTATGTAAGTCACACCACCATAAACTGTTGATATTTGACTACCTTTGCTCTATAAAAAATGTCAATTGCATATGGTTCAGTCAAATATTTTGGGAGGACGAGAAACACCATGTAACGGAGGGGCCATGTGTCGACTGCCAATGATGTGAGTACTACAGGTTTTCTCTGTGAGGATGAGGGTTAATTCCTTTGAGAGACTTTTGGGTTTGGAGATTAAAAGTTTTTCTGATGGACCCAACCCTTGGTCTGACCACCACTCTGCTCCGAAAGGCTCCAAGGGCACTGGGAGTAGCATTTAGCTGTCTCAACAATACAAACTTCGAAATGTTCACATTTATCTAATCATCCTTCTTTGGTCTCAAGATCTTGAGGATCGGTGGTTTTCAAACTGGGCTCCACAGATTCCCTGGGCGGGGAGGGGGGGGGGTCTCTCTGGGAATGTGGGTGAGAGATAAGGGTCTCGCCTCCCTACCCTGCCCTCCACTTCAACGGTTTTATCAATTTCACATAGCAGGCTTTCTCATGGGACTGGGGAACAACAACAAAAAAACAAAATGGGAATTCTTGGCTAGAGCAACCAAGGAGAGCTCCCAGGAGAGAGGCATCAGGCAGATGATGCGGGAGAACCCATGTCCCTTGACAGCACAGGTTGCCCTTCAGCAAGGTCAACGACTATTCTACTGGGGCCTCAGGTCTAGCTGAAGCCTTTGGAAACGCCACAGCCTGGAAGGAGCTCCCGGCCTTGTAAGTCGTGGGTGTCTGATTCCTGAGAATGCAACTAAATCTGCCTCAGTTTCTGTTTGGTGAAGATGAAATCCCAATACAAGGGAGAATCTGTTTCTTCCCTTACAGGACCAAGACATGGTCCTTTATATCCTGAAGAACGGGTCCTCAAAGTTCGCCATCATTTGCCTCTGAGCAGAACTTCAGAAACTATTCTTGTTCATAACCTGATGATGAGTTCCTGAATTCTGACACTGACAAATCCTCCTGAATTAGCATAACATTACAAATGAAAATTGCCTCTTGTTCCTAACCATGAGTCCCCAGCACATTTTCCATTTCAATTATATGAACCCGAATGACAAGGGAAAAATCATTTTTAGGTGTTCACAGAGTACATTACTTCACCATGTAGAGTCAGAACCTGTTCTAGACTTATGGGGGGAGGGGAGTGCTGAAATCAGCGATGTTAATTCATCTCAAATGACTGAGCCACTCATTCTCCCATTAGGTTTAAATTCATTACTAATTACTTTTTCAGGGCGGGGGGGAGACACATTCTGAGTGCACTCTGCATACTTACGTTGCAGAGTACTCAAAAAGCCCATAGTAGGGGTTGAACATCTCTTTGGACAGTAGGAAGAACCACTCTCTGGCCACACCCCCATAGTCAAGACCTTTCTCTGATTCAAATTCGATCCACAGTCTGGCTTTCAGGACGTCTGGTCTTTTCACAGACATGATTCTCCGATAGGACTCTTCAAAGATGTTATTTCTGTGAAGTTTCATTTCAAACCTATTTGGAATATCAGCCTACACGAAAGAAGAAAACAAGCACGTAATCACACAGCAAATACACATCTTACCTTCGAACAGAGAAAAACAACAAAGAGTAGAAATGATGGCAGTCTTCACATAAACAAGCAGCGACCAAGGGCTCCAACTGAGATTCCCTCCTTCAGGGATTTTATTCACATAGACAGTGAGCCCCACTACGTCCGGGTAAGACACACAGAGCTTGTACCAGAAGCTGTCAGATGGAGCCAGCAACGCATGTGGCACAAGAAACTATGTGGAGCAGAAGACAATCATCCTCTCCCCGCCTTTTATAAACAACCGTGAGGCTCCTGTCCACCCACTGGCCACTGAAATATGGTCAACTCTCCATATTGCTTCTGTCGAAGAAAGGGATGTCAGTGCAGGTCATCAAAACCCAGAAAACAATTCCCATCTGGCCCAGTCGAGAGCATTCTCAACTCTGGCAGGGTCTCCAGCTGGTAGATGTGATCCATGATGCCTATAAGCTAATTCTGGTGCCATGAGAAGTGCGACCTCGAGGATCATGCCAGGTTGTGGGAAAGCATGGCAAAGGTCACAGTTAAAGAACATGAACATAAACAAGCACCTGAGCGAAGTTGTGAATCACTGCTGCCTGGAAAAAGGAGGACCAGGGTTAGCCTTGCTCTGACAGTGGATTTGCAGCGGGAGTTTCCCGGCAGGTGACACCCCAGGGGGAGTGCCAGGGCATGACAGGCTCCTATCCACAAAGTCATCCCCAGCTACTGGGGGACATGTAGGTTACTCACTAAATAACACTGAGGAATTTTATGTGTATGTATCAGAGTCACTTTCTTTCTCTTTTTTAAATTTTATTTATTTATTTGACAGAGAGAGCGAGCGAGAGAGGGAACACAAGCAGGGGGAGTGGGAGAGGGAGAATCAGGCTTCCCGCTGAGCAGGGAGCCTGATGTGGGGCTCGATCCCAGGACCCTGGGATCATGACCTGAGCTGAAGGCAGACGCTTAACGACTGAGCCACCCAGGTGCCCCTCAGAGTCACTTTCAAGGCAGTTATCCAAGAGCTATTTGAATCAGCACGCTGGGAGGGAGAGGACCCAACGTGGGAGCTCCTGACGCACAGACTGTCTCGTGCACCTGCATGTCCCCAGTGCCTTGGCCACTGCGGAGGCCCAGAAAAGAGGCATCAGCCAAAGGCATGGAATGGGAGAGACCACGACGGAGCCCGGGCAGACTGGGGTGAGGGGAGTTGTGCCCAATACTCTCCTCTTCCCAAGGGGAGGAAGCCAAGAAACAGTGGTCGGTGCAGAAACCATGCGTGCGCACATTGAGGGGAAAACTGGTAAAACCTGCACCAGAGAAGTGACGTCAGACAGTAAGACAGAAGACACGGTGCTGAAGATCTGGGGAGGATGTGCCAGGAGAAAATGTAATACTGTGATTTAAATCTTGGCCTGTAAAAACCTCATAGGGTTTCTCAGTTTTGTAAAAACCTCACAAGGTTTCCCACTGAGAATTTTATTTTATTATTATTTTTTTAAAAGATTTTATTTATTTATTTGACAGAGAGAGACACAGCGAGAGAGGGAACACAAGCAGGGGGAGAGGGAGAGGGAGAAGGAGGCTTCCCGCCGAGCAGGGAGCCCGATGCGGGGCTCGATCCCAGGACCCTGGGATCACGACCTGAGCTAAAGGCAGATGCTTAACGACTGAGCCACCCAGGCGCCCCCCCACTGAGAATTTTAATCTGAAAATTATACTCACTCTTAACAGGCCAAATATTATAATTTAGTATTGTAAATTATATTTGTGTTATAAATATAATTAAAACTATACTTTTGAATTGGGAGGGAAGGATGGGAACATTTTTCTGAGTAGGGTCTAGGTTTTATGATGATGACCGCAGGCTTCTCCACACCTTTTTGACTAGGTCCCGAATTATTTTATATCCCACTAAAATCATTTTTATCTTGTTATGTATTACATAAGAAATTACCATTCAGGTTGATTTGATATGTAATACTAAGTTTGTCTTCACTTACCAGGTCTCTTAAAAAGAAAATTCAGATTGAAGATCCAGGTGGATCAAAGTGCAATGGGAAAAGGAAGGTAACATTTTTAGTATACACATAAAGGTAACACACAAGTTGTTCTCACTGAAGTAACTTTGGCAACTTACAGATGACTAAAACAGCATTTTTGGAAGACATGTTACTCACAGGTTTCTTTAATTTCTTCCTAAAGTAGTCATATTTCTGTTTAAATTCTCTGGAGTAAGGAACAGCCTGGAAGATAAATTTATAAATATAGATAAACAATACACTTGAAATTTTATGTATACTGAGCCAACATTCACAGAATTTCACAAATCATAAACCTTAAAATTCTCACTCTCCATATTATCACTGAAATGTATATAATGTCTACATAGTACATGGGAAAGTTCTAGAAATGACTGAGGCTAATCAGCACTGTATGGGGGGGGCTTTCACCCCTGAAAACAACTGTACTGATATTCAAGAAATGATTTTTAAGGGATATGCCACATAAACCAAATATACTGTCCATGTGACTTCTGTCTAAATGGGAATCAGGGTGTAACCTTGTTGTTGTTGTTGTTGTTGCAAGTTTAGATAAAAGTTACTGGCTATGATTCTTTAACACAAAACCCAAAATGACCTATGTGGTCATTTTGAAAAGACTCTTCATGCTTTTAAAAACCATGGGGAGGAAATAAAATGACAGGAAAGGCCAGTGAACTGATAACCCTTATCAAGGCATATAAAATCAGGTAGAAAGCATTCTGGAAACATCTTCGATTTAGGAGTCAGAAGGTTTGCCTCTTACTAGTTAGTAGTCTTGGGCAGGGATTTCTTTAAATCTGGAATGGCTTATCTAGGAAGCAGAGTGATGGTACCAAAGGTGTGGGTTCGGTAACTGAGTTAAGCTTTCATTACTCAAAGTTCTGTAATCTATCCTGGCGAAGTAATAACCTTTTAATGTAGTCATTTATATTTTTTACTTCCTATGTTGTAAAGTAGCTTACAATATCTGAGAGCCAGAGCCCTGACTTCAGGCTACTGAAAAGGCTTCTAATTTTTTTTATGAAGCAGAAAAGATTGGCTTTTGCACACACATGGACATAACTGGGACAGCTCATACTCAGAAAAACTTGTTGCTTTTTCACAAATAGTATGAATTTGGGCAAGAACAGTTCTGCTGATATCGTTTTGGGCTAAGTTAACAAAATATACTGATCCTTAGTAAAGTGTCTCCAGACTCCAAGCCTAACACCACCTTATACTTTCAGAAAGAGGAGAAGTGAGGAACCAAAGCTTCCCCTCCTTCATACTATTTTAAGACACAATCACACAAACAATAAGCCAAAACAAAAGTAACCACTCTTATAGAAAACAATAATCATGTCAGTGTTTTGCTTTGTAACTCAAGAACAATAAAGACAATGTGTTTATATATCCAAAGAACATTGTACAGACAATTTATGGGTACCTCGGGTCTGCTCTTAGTTTTAAAGCCATTCTTCATTTGATTTTCCATTGGGCACTAGATTTGACCACATATCACATTTATTTGGGGCCGTGTTTAGTCTGACGATACCATGTATGAATCCTTATTCTAGAAAATGTAGAAATTTTGCCAATATCTGGACAACCACCACAGTGAGGGAAAGGATACCATGTTCTGACAAAAGCCATGTCATGTTTTTGGCCCCACTAACACTACAGCCCATCACAAACTAAGATGTCCTGTATATTCGCTCTTTGGTGGTTCCTCCGCTGATTCATTCTACAGCTATTTCTTGAGCACCTACTGTGTGCCAGGCATTTCAGGTGCTAGGGAAGTAATGGTGCATCAACCAAAGATTTCTTCCCCTGTGCCCTCCTGGAGCCTGCAAGCTACTGTGTGCAAGTGGAAGCAGGAAATAAATGAAGAGTGGTGAATGTTTTGAGGAAAAGCTGAGAGCGAGCTCTCGGCAGGCTACGATACGAGCGGTCAGGGAAGGCAAGCTCTGAGGAAGGGACATCTGAGCCGAACCCAGAGTGACAGGAGGGAATAAATCACTAGAAAGCAGTGTGTGTAAAGTCTCGAGAAGGAAAGTGTTCGGCTGATGCTCTTAGCTACGCTCAACTGTGACAGAGGGAACGTAAGCTGAAAAAAGGTTAGGTCCTTTCACTACCTCAGGCCAGCTTCGGCGGACCTGGCTTGTAAGGCGGACTCCCGTGCCAGCCAGCCATGTGACGGACCCTCCGGACGACGGAATCTCTTCACGTTAAGAAGAAATGGACCCGAAGCACTTCAAGGCTCTTCCATTTCCAAAAATCTGTGATTCCCAGCCTATTATTTTTTGGTTTTGTGTCCTCCCCCGAAAATGTTGAAGAAAGGCTTAAAATACAAGTTCAAGAGTCTTAAGTCAAGGGGAGGGGGAGGGGGCATATTTTAAAATGTTGCCCCCAGCCTATGCTCTCTACTCCCCTGTCCGACTTGTCACTGGGGGGTGCCGATTACATGTGGGTGGAAAAAAAATGCTGAGATATTTCTGGTCTTTCTTCTTCTGGGGAACGAGGCATGAAAATGGAAAAATCCTGATCCTCCTCCAATACTTATCTTTTCTCTCTAGAGAGAGTTCTTATGAGTAAGAAGAAGTGGAATAAGGAGGTTTTTACAATCTCCTCCTCAACAGAAGCTCACAGAGTAGCAGGACAAAGACATCCATACCGCGGAGCCTCTGAAGACACTTCCAAGGGTGGTCCATGTCTTGTACTGGACAGGCCAGATTGTTGACTCGCTCTTGAAAATTTGGCATCTTATTTTCTTATGTACAATGGAACTTACAAAATTAAGCCTGCATCAGAACTTAACACGTCTGTTGATTCAAGCCCTTCGCTCTTTCTTAAATAGGTTTTCTATTCTGAGCACAGTGATGTGCTGACTTATTGGAGAAGTCGGGTCTGAACGTTTTCGCGTCGTTCTAGCCCACCCGGTGCCGGGGCTCCTTACGGAGGACGGCTCGCGTCCGACACGGAGACACGGGTGGGGTCAGTACACCTGCAGTTTCACTTCGACTTTTGGCATTTGCTGGAACTAAGGGCGACACAATTAGTTTTCCGAGCTTCTGACAAATTGGGAATAACAACATCTTCCCTGCCTTCCTGAGGGGACTGCTTGGAGTTTTCAAAGCAGCTGATTATAAAGTTCTCGGCCAAGTACAAAGCGTGACACGAACATGAGACCGTATTCATAAGAGTAGCAAGCACGGACAGCACTGGATCACACCTGCATTGGTGATGCTGGGAACACAGAGAGCAGACCGACTTACAGTAATGCTGTGCTGAGCGGCCAGAGGAAGGGACCCCCCTCCCCGAATCTGGGCCATTTTTTAAAACTCGGGGAAAAAGAGAAATTCGAGGTTCCAGATCAGCAGAAAGACTTAAAATTAAAGAAGTGGGCATTGGACCTAGACTGGGTGCTTGGGCTGGGGTTTTAAACCACAGACGGGGGACACAGAAGTTGGCCTACAGTCTGTACGACCTAGGGAGTAAGAGCAGAGTTCCTTGCTTAAAACCTGCAACTGACATGGGGACAAGAAAACTACCCGCCAGCCCAGGAAAGTCGTAAGGAAGCTTACCTTCTGTCCAGGACCACAAACGAGAGAAAAACAAAAAGAAACAGACCTGTAATAAATTCATACTCTAAGCCTACACCAAAGTGGGTATGAAGTCCACAGTTATATTAACTGGGCCTGCATGATCCCAAGCTAAGAAGTTAACGGTAAATACAGGTCAGGTCTTATAAATGCCTCATGGCGGGGGGAGGGGGGGGAAGAAAAAAAGAAAAAAACAAAGATGAGCGCACACACACAAATTATAAACTGAACTAAACTGAACTACCATTGAGGAGAGTCTACAGACATAACATGTGGCAGATTTAGTGCCCCTATGGCCAGAGATAACAGAATAATCTGAAAGAGGATATGAAATAAGCATTTTAAGAATGATTAGAGAGCTAAGTATGAATTAAAAAAGAAAATAAAAATAAAAAATGGAAGAACATGATAGAATATACAGTAACTGAAAAGACCAAGCAAATTTAAAAAGACCCACTAGAACGATGAGTAATTAAACACAGTTAATGAAGTAACAGACACAATGAACTGGTAAAGGGTAGGTTATAAAAAGCTTAAAAAAGAATTAGCTGGAAGAGCTAAGCCCACAATACAGCAATGAAGAGAGCTAGAGATGGAGGGAGGGAGAGAGAGACCGAGAGAAAGTGAGAGAGCGAGAGAGAGATGGAAAACTGGAAAACTAAGAGATTAGGAAGACAGAAGGTAAAGGTGAATCACATACCCAGTAATTCTACTGGTACAGATAACCAGGAAGAATGGCAAAGATACAGTATGTGAGAAGTAACTGCCAAGAATCTTCCAGAATGGAGGGAAGACAGGGTCCTCATATTGAAGAATTACAATGAGTCCAAAGCAGAATCAATATAAAGAAATCCACGCTTAGGTTCCTGAGAGTAAAATTATACAACACCAAAGTCACAGAGAAAATTCAAAACTGCGAGAGAAAAGAAAGATTTACCCATCAGAAAAATGCCAATCAACAACAAGCTTCTCAACAGTTGTGGAGGCCAGAAGACAAGAAAGAAGATCTCCAAAGTATTAGGAAAATAACTGTTAGTCAAGCCTTCTAAAGCTGAACTGTCATTTAACAGAGAGGTCAGATAAGCCTTCTCTCTCAGACTAAGAGCTTCCCACTCTCAGACAGTGCTGCTCAAGGGGGTATCACCACCCCTGGGAGGGTGTGCCCAAACACAGATTGCTGGACCCACCCCCAACATCACTGATTTTCAGTAGGCCTGGCTTGGGACTCCCAAATTTTTTCTAACAAGTTTCCAGACGATTCTGATGCTGCCGATCTGTAGACTCTGAGAATCCGGAACCATACTTCATTCAGAAGATAACCTGGAAACAGCAGGTGTAAGAAGTGATGGTGGGCAAAGAAATCTGCCTACATATAAGGGAAGGAAATAAGCCGTGCTGTTGAGAACAAAGATAAAATACCAATGGCTGTTTGGGAAGTTTTAAAATGTTGCTGAACAATGGAAAGTAAGTGGGAAGAATGGCATGAGAGGTCCCTCAAGTCCCATCTTGCTCAGGAGGAGAGAGCAATTAATTTTGTCATGAAGTACGTTGGTTAAAAACGTTAATGTAAGCACTGAAAGCACAGAAATAGAAAATACAACTTCCAAGCAAATACAGAAAATGAAAGAAAATAAAGGGCACTTTATCAATCTAATAGAAGGTAAGAAAAGAGAAAAAATACAGCTAACTGAGAGGGAGAAAAGACATACCAGGCAGGTACTAAGGAAGAGAAAGTGAATGTAACTGACTGATAAAGCCATGCTTGCCATCAGAGAGTCTGACACCACTGTCTTGGGTAGACAGAACAGCCAGGAAAAAAAAGCAGTGATGCAAATGAGTAATTTGAACACCATATGCTTGATTTAATGGACATATAAAGAACTCTATACCCAACAAAGACAGAATACACATTCTTTTCAAACACAAAAGGAACATTTATAAAAAATGGCCAAGCTGCCAAGGAAGTTTCAAATATCTGGTAATCAATATTCCATAGATAATATTCTCTGACCACAAAGCAGTAAAATTAGAAAATTAGTAAGAAATGGATAGGCAAAAACCCTTCCATACTCTTAGAAACGAAAAGCACGTTCTAAATAACTTAAAAGTCAAGGAGAGAAAGAAATCATGGAAATTACCAAATATTCAGAACTGAATGACAACAAAAGCCAGCTGTCTACATTAAGTGGGTAATTACCTAAATACACATGCTCTTCCTGAAAGAAGTATCCCTACTACTAAGGAAAGAGTAAACAAGGCTCTTTTGTTAGTATATTAAAAAAAAAAAAAAAAAGATCTTTCTTTGGGTCAAATTTACTTGGATTTATGATGCTAAACAATTTTCAATAGCAGTAAGAACTAACAGTGTTTGAGTGAAGGTAGATGATCGATAAGTGATAGAGATATTTCAAAAGGCTTCAGAATTATGTCAAAAGTCCTCTGTCACTTGAAAACAGCCTTGATTCCTGAATACGTTTCCCATGATGTAGAAGAGAAAACAGGACTCTAACACCTTATCGTGACTGTGAATATATCAAAAGGAAACCATGGTAGTAAGGCAGGTGTTGAAGTCACATAAAAAGCAGCTGTTTTAACTGAGGTATGATTGGGCACTTTGCGTTACACAGTAGCAAAGCAGCTGAACAAAGCCAATAAACAAATCCAACAAATTAACTAAGGGGATGTCAAGTATCAAGGTATGTTTGCATGGTATTACCTTTTAAGTTTTCAAACAGACTTACCTTTGTAATTCAAAACCTAATTTGAACGGAATCAGATTAAAGCCACAAAAGCAGTATTATAAAAATACCTAACGGCCTCTTAGCTCAGCATTCAATATGCTTTATTTCCTTTTGCTCCTCCGGTTTTTAGCAGATTCCCAAGTTTGCAATGCTTTGCTGATGCCATACGTTTCCTGTAATTCCAAATTAGCTCCCGCACTCATATAAACACTGACCAGAGATGCTGGTACATTCTCTGCCGATGACTGTGACCCATGCGGTATTCGGGACCAAGTCCTTATGAACACAGCGTGTGGCAGTATTTTAAGAGGGTGCTCTACCTAGCTTCCTTTTGCACCCGGTGTATACGTGGGGACTGCGAGGAAGTTAGTGGGTCAACAGAGACAAAAGTTCTTAACTCTGCCAGCTCCAGAGGTTGGCTACAACCTCCCCCAACTTTTCCAGACGTTCCACGCTGGAAGAGAGTCAGAACACAGCTTAAATTCGTTAGCATGCATTTACCACTCTTGGCCAAAAGAAATGACAAAATGCTACAGATACAGGGCTTGGCTTGGTATAAAAAGGAAGAGAGGACATTTTGATTGTTATACCTTTAATCCACCTTTTTACAAAGGAGAAAAGAAAATGTTTAGTTTCTTACCATTAGCAAAGCACTTTCTTTTCCTTTATAGCAAAAGCCCTTCAAAAAGGCAAATGCAGTTGTATCCCACCCGGGAACTCCAGTGAGGAGGAGATGGGGGCGATTCTAAACTAGCCAACCACACCAGGCCCCTGGCACCGGGTAAGCAGTAATACTCAAGAAATACATGTTTAGATGCAAGCCAAATATTACACTGAAGAGTTAAAACTTGAGAATACTGACCGGACCAGTAATAGCTGGGTTCTGCAGTCTTGGGTCTTCCCACTGAGTAATTTTGCTATCTGAAAATTAATGTTTAAAAAAAAAAAAAAAAAATCAGCATATTAGTTCAAATCTATTCTGTGTCAAAAATGTTTTAAAAAGAATTATTTCTGGATTTTTTTCAAAAGCTGTCCCCCAAAATAAATAACTTAGTATTGCAGGGTTAGAAGAGCACCCTATTCTATATGCCAGCCCCCTCTGCCCATACTGTTTAGTTAAAAACACTCCATCGAAAATGCACGACTAAAGCCAAACCATCTATTCACACTGTTTTTGGCAAGAAAATCTGCCAAAATTTCAATTATAAACCCCTGTTCTTTCAAGGATTTATAATTTGATCTTGATTTTTCTTTAACTGAAAAAAGGCATAACAAGTCTTAGTCCCTAAAAAGTTTAACACACACACACACGATTTTTCTCATTTCAAGTACTTTTTTCTTTGCTTATGGCATTGAAAAACTGTTTTCAACTAAGAATCCTACACTGGACAAATGAATAATCCATTACACGTGTCACTCATATGCATGCAAAAATCAGAGCTGCTAAGGAGTCCCAAAAATTGAGCATTAGATAGAGCAAAGAGGACAGATTTAAAGGGTTCCCTTTTGGTCAAGTTGGCGAGAAGTGTGTTCTTTCTTCTAAATGTGTCCGTGCCGGCAAGACTGCTCCATGCCGCCTACACAATTACTCCAGTGGTGTAGGTGGTAAGGTGCCATGGGGACCCTGAATCATGTGGGTTTTCTGACTGTGCACAGGGGTTACTGTGTGTGTGGGAGGCAGGGATGGATTTGTGTGAAAGGGTATGGGGAGGGCAGACTGGGGGAGAATGGGTTCTCTCTGGAGTTTTAGGGAATCTAAGTTGTTAAGAATATTGATTCTGCTTATTTCCTATGTACTCTGTAAATCGATTGATAAGAATAACCATTAAATTTGGGTTTAATGACCGTACCAGGAATTTTTCCAAATCTGGTATATGTAATTATTTTAATGAAAGCAGAGGTCAAGTTTTAAAATCCTGAAGCACATGATTCTGGACTCATGTTGGCAGGAAATGTACGTGAGATGTTTCGATGGTTTTAGAGAACTTTGATGGAAGCAAAAGGCATTTTGGGCCCCTTACCTCATGCATAAGAAATCTGGAAAGTAAAAGTTGCCGTTGTGATGGAGAATAAAAGAAAACCAAATAAAGAGTACAGCTGAGTGATAGCTCCCCGCAGTACAGTCCTATCACCTGGGTACCATCAAAGCAGAAGTAAATTAATGACTACCTACCCATGGCGTCTCCCACATAGTCTGTCCAGTTCCACCCTTGACATGTGCACCCACATTTCCCATGGCGACCTCAAATCCAGCTCTACCAAAACCAAACCCGTAATCTTCCAGGAACAAAACCCGTTCCTGTGTTCCTGTACTCCCAAATGCCAGCATCATAGCGCATTCACTGTTCAGACCCAGCACTGGCTCCATCCCTATCCTCCCTAGCCATTCTCCTCTGACGCTCGCCATTCTGTTCCCCGTCTCACTGAGAAAGCTGCTTTCGGGAGGGCGCATCGCTTCCATGGACTGTGCCCTCTCTTTCCCTGGCCTCGGGCTCACTCATCCCAGTTCAAGCCTTCCTTTGCAGTTCTGCCACAAGGATCTTTCTGAAGAACAAATCCGACCAGTCAGGCCCCTCCAGAAAAACCTCCAGGACCTCCCTCCTGCCTGCAGAAGGGACTCGAGTTCCCACCCCTGGCGGACCCCCTTTGACCTATGTGCAGGACTCCTCTGTGCCCTGGCCATTTGCAGCCCCACCACAGGTCTCGGACTGTGGCCCAGGCCACACACCTTCATACATCTGTATGTTTTCTCCCTCCTGGGGTTGCTCTCCTCAGGCTTTCCTGCATAAATCTGACTCATCACTTGGGATCCATCCGAAAAGTAATCTGTTCCTAAGGTCCTTTTGCAGCCAGCCCCCAGCCCTAGCGCCTGGCCACATAGTGAGCAAGTGTGGTCCTCACCTGTTCTGCTTCTTCAAAGCGGGTTCGTTCCTCTATCCAACACTGCAAATACCTCCTGGGGCTCCCAAGTCTCTATGTGGTTACAATGCAGATCGATTTTATAGCTAAGTATTGTCCATATAGGATATGAATGTGTAGTGGCCATTTACTTACTTTTTCCAGAACTTCTGAGTCTAAACTTGTTTTTTGTCCTCAGACATTGTATTTGAAATAATAAAGGGACAAGAATGAAGGAGAAGAATGAGAAACTCAAGTTAATTTAGCTACTATTAACAGGTTTGGTAAGACTGCTGGCAAGAAAGACAAAAATAGGATTTTACAGCCTCACTGGAATTTTATTTTCTCTTATGGCTCTGATCTGAGACACCTGTGGCCACTGACTCACAGCTGAGGGGCATACCTGGTCTTTAAGAAGAACCACATGACCCCTAAGAGAGGTAGCGATTCAGTTCAAGATCTTCCCTTAACCTTTTACTCCAGGCTCGAGACAGGAGCTATTTGATCAATGTCAATACCTCATCTCTTCTGAAATGACGTCTTTAAGCTGTCCGTTCTGGCAAGAGGAGTGGGAAGGGAGTGAGTTGAGCGCTTGGAGGGACTGGTGGCTAGAATAAGGAACAGCCCATTTAGCAAAACTAACCTCTCCTGCCTCCCAACAAACAGAAACAGGGGAAGCCTGGGGCGGGCATTGTTGCTGCTTCTCCAAGACGAGTTCTCTCCACTTTCCAACCAAGGACATGACCTTCCTCACACCTTCACCACTGACCCTCCATGAATTAACTTCAAGTCACTGTTTATCAAGCATCTACTCTATACTACGAGAACACCACGAGAAAAATAATCTATGATCTTTAATTTCTAACGTACACTGGGATGGACTTTATTGGCAACAGAGTTTTTCTTGTTTTGGGGCCCTTGCATTAAGAACATTCATGAAATTCTTTTCAGGCTGACCTGAACATCAGATCACCAGCCAGAACATGGCCACAATGCTGTGTGAAATATTCTGTGTGTAGCAGAACAAGGTTGTGTTACTGGTTAAGACCTTGTTTTAAGAAAAAGATCTTTATTATTCATACCTACCTTTGAAAACTGAAATTGTAAAGCATAAAAACTAAAAGAGGAATTGTTTTTTGTTCTTGGTGGGAAAAAGAGGTGTGCCCCCTTCCCTTCTTTTAATAAATTATGCTATGAGTAGAATTATAAATAGCATATCAGAGAAAAAAGTGGGGTACACACATTTTATAGCATTTATGGTAGCAGTTTTAGGCTCACTGTAAAATTCTGGACAGCAGGCAAACCCTCAGTAGTTTTACTGGTCAAAGACAAAACTAAACCTACATACCGTGAATTACCGAATTTTAACCAAAGCGTAGCCCCTTCCCCACAAGTGGCTCATTGGTGGACTTTTGATTAAAGAGAATGTAAGGCTGGAGACACCTGGGGCAGACTTGCTAATCTTTAGGAACCAAATGAAAACAAAAGATCAAAACACTACCAACTGCACATACTTCTAAGTAGAACTGCAAACTTCTTTTATTTATTTATTTATTTATTATTTTTATTTTTATTTATTTATATGTCAGATAGAGAGAGAGCATGAGCAGGGGGAGAGGCAGAGGGAGAGGGAGAAGCAGGCTCCCCGCTGAGCAGGAAGCCCGATGCTGGGCTCGATCCCAGGACGCTGGGATCATGACCTGAGCTGAAGGCAGGCGCTTAACCGACTGAGCCACCCAGGCTTCCCCTGCAAACTTCTTTTAAATCTACATTTTTCAGAAGTTCTAAGGGATATACAAATATGTTCCCATGCAGAACATGTTGCCTTAAAAAAAAACAAAACAAACCTAGCTAAAAGCAATACCTTTATCAGTGTAGCTTTTAGTTGAAATGAGAAACCACACATTTATTCGTAAGGTGCTGGAGCAACTATAATACTGTAATTTCAAGATACGAGCTACATGTAGGTTAGCGTGCTGGGTGCAAAGGAACATGCTATGAACAGAAAGCAAGTCAGAGCGGGCTTCTTGCCCAAGACCCTGGACGGCCAGTGCTTAACATGGTGCCTCAAGCGCTGCTCACACACAGATTTCTGACTCAGTTGTAACTTCTAACCCTATTTTCTGTTACTACGGTGTATTTATTAAAAGCGCAATATCAAGGGGTTATTGACCCAAAAAATCTTTTTAATGAAGGGGAAAAAAAAGTTAATAAGTCACAAGATCAAATCGGGTAAAAGCTTGCTGGGCTCCTTTCAAGCAAACTTGGGGTGAATGCACAGTACCGTATGAGGGCACTGAGTCTCTGGCCTCATTCTCTCCACATAACACCTGGCTGCCTGGACAAAGAGTAAAAGGACAAACCTTTCACTATGATATTCGAATGATTCCCTGTCCCCCCGATCCCTTTACCTGCAATGCCTGTGTGTCTATAAAAGAGCTTACTTACTATGGTCAATATAAAACGTTCGGCCATCCAAGTGAATTCTTTCTTCCCAACCAGGCTGGTAGTAGAAGAAAGAGAGAGAATATGAACATTAGCTAACAGTTCCAAAAAATATTAAAAATAAAAATAAATGGCTAAACACTTTAAGGACACTTTCTGACTCTTTTAGGGTACATTGTTACATTAAAAACAGGCCACAAACATTTCAAGTTGATGACAACATCTAGCAACACACTGTATCACATGTTCGCCAGCCTTAGGAGCCTTCACTCACTGTGTGATGAACAGGAACCAGGGCTTGCTATTTCAAAAACTTCAAAGGGCAACTCCAGCATTCCATGGAATAGTTGAGTTTAGGACTGAATAGCTCATTTAATTAAATATTTACCAAGTACTGAAGGGAGGAGGGAGGTTAATTTAAAAATGTCAGAGACAGATGCTTTAGTCCTGCCACCACGTGGCTGAATGACCTAAAGCGGAGATTCTCTGGTGTGGGCTCTCACTCTTTGGACTCAGGGAATAGATGGATATGGGTATTTTTTTCCAACGTAAAGCTGGTATGCCCTCATTACATGAATGGTGCCTACTTGCTATCTGAAACTCAGGAATCCAACACATGAGGACAGCCCGTGATCTTTCACGTCTAATCTCGGTCTCTGGCACTCTCTGGGCTCTTTCCATTTCAACCCAGGAACCAAACAGTTCTGGAGAGGGAGGAATATTTGTGTAAAACCTGATGAATGAAGACCGAACCCTAACCTTCCTAGATTCAAGTTGTGCCATCACATACCACACACCAGGCAACAGAGAGGTTCTTGCGCTTGGAAAATCCCCTTGGAAGAGCTCCCAGCACCCTTCCATTCTACAGGAGTCTTGAGTCTCCCTACCTTCCTGCCCTTGTAAGGCTTTTTGATGTGGGGGGAGGCAGCTGAGAAGGATGTATGGTGAAAGTTTCATTCAAAATCTAATATGGAGTAAATAGAGCTCAACTCCCCAAAGAGAATAAACCGATGAAAAATTATATTTTATAAACAGTCCTCAACAAGGGAGAAAAACTTCAAATATCTGCAGGCTAATGACTTACAGAAACCACCTGTGATCACTTCGGCCTTTTTCTCCCACTGTTCTTAATATTTCTGTTCCAGTGACTGAATTAGCAATATGGATGGAACCCAGTGGTTGCAAAGTTACAAAATAAATGCGTGTTGCCTAACCTATCACATGCAGAGAATGCCTCTTACATCCTAGTTACAAGGTCTACTTTCTCCTAGCCGCTAACAACTCAGAAACCTCTTTCACAAGTATGGGGCATCAGCTGTATGTGCTATTAGAATTCAGCCATGCACCTAATTCTGTGAAGAGATTACTGACCAATGGGACCCCAAACAGCCTGGAGAAAGAGAAGGCCCACAGGGTCTCTCCCTCCACACGGGGCAGATGAATGGATAAACATTTTCAGACTTGTCCCTGCATCTGCAGTGTACTCACAGGGAGAGGGCCGAGGTCATTGGGGTTTAAAGATGCCTTTGACCGCATATGCACTGGAAATTTCAGGCGTGGATCTTCCTGCAAGAAAATGTAGAAGGCAGAGGACATTAAGAGTGACTCTGTGTGTGACGTCATTGGCTCCTCCCCTTCCGGAGCAGGGCCGTCCAAGCCGCACGCTGGCCTGCACGGGGGAGGAGAGGACCTCTCTTTGTGCAGGAAGGCTGGCCGACCAGCTCTTAAGCAAGATTTTACTCTTCTCCTTGTCCTTGGTGAAGGCAGAACGGCTTTAAATAACAGGTGAAGCATTTTCCGCCGAGACGTCTAGCAGGTGAAGAGGAAGAGAGTCCCAGCAGGGAAGTTACTATGGAAACCAGAATGGAGGGTGCTGGAGAAGATGAGGCTCTGTTTTGCAGAGGGGTAGGGAGGACGGTTCGTAAGTCTCTCTTGCTACTGAGCTGTGGTTGAGGGCAGCCAGCCATTCCATCGGGCCTGAGCTTCCTGCTGTGCGCTTCCACCCCTTGATCTACAGCAGAGGATGTGAATCTGATCTGAGGGTCAAGTCCTGTCCCGGCCAGAGTTCGGTGGCCTTGTACTAGAGAACTTTACTGAGATTCCTGATCAAGTTCTGCAAATGAGATTCTCATTTATATCTCAATACTTAAAGTTTGCCAAGGACTTCTCTTAAGGGATATGGCTCACAAGATACTACAAAGAACCAACAAAAGGAAATACGTGCTCTGGCATCTTGGGTCATGCTTTACAACTGACAATTGACAAAGAACAGGCAGATGTCTCATCTTGCAACGGCCCCGTTAGGACGCTGCGCACTCGATCTCTGCTTCTTTAGATGAGGACACTGAGCTGCTGAGACCACGAGAACTTGCCCGGGAGCTCTCACCCAGAGTCTGGGAGCACCTGGGAGCGGCCTCTCACGTACACAGACCCAACGAAAATGCAATGGAACATAGAGAATTCACATTTTAAACTCAAAGATTAGGAAACAAATGATAAAACTCAGAATAGCACATTGTCAACCAAATAAGCCTAAGATTTAAAAAAAAAAAAAAACCCAAACCCCTTTATTTCAATTACATGAAAGACTTTGTTGCTGTCAAATCACTAAAAGGTTTTCTGCCTCACCATTTTCCCAAGGCAACAAGAAAATGAAATAATTGGTATAAACCTTGGAAAATAATAAAACTCACTTTGTGACGGCTAATGGGTATGAAGATGCTCTCAAACTGATTACAGTGATGGTTGCAACATGTTTATTTAATGGTCTATAAACCACTCACTTGTATATTTTAAACAGGTGAACTGTAGGACATGTGAGTTATACTCCAAGAAAGCTGTTAAAAAAATTTCCCAAGTCAACAGCGTGAGCTGTTTGTATCACTGGATTATAACAAAATGACAGATTTTTGGAACTGGCAATGTCTACAAAAAAAACCCTCCAAAATAAAAAAAATAAAACCAACCTTGGCTTTCTATTACCTAGAGCAAACTATTAACTGAAGAAATAAATTGTGCGAGCAGTTTATGATAGATATTGACCCTGAACCTTACTGATAATCCTTTTTGAAGGGTAATCAGAGGAATAAAATAGGTCCAGTATTCTGTCGTATACTGGAACATAAACAGTGCAGTAAACGGACCCACTAAGATTTTGGATTTATAAGGTCCAAGAAGCTGATAATTGGGTAAATATTTGTGACAGGTTGATTGTAGACAGAGGAAAAACTTGCAGCACCCCACTGAGAGCTAGCTCTGAGCTGGACCCGGTGATGCCACAACCACAGGGCACCCCGGGTACCCCCCTCCCAGCCACTGACCGTGCTAGCTTCCGGATGCTGCATGCAAGACCAGCCGTGCCTTGGAATCATACACACGGGCTACTGTGAAAGACAATCAGTAAAAAGCTGGTGATTTCAAGAACACACACAGAAAAGCAGCAGCTGAAGTTACAGACAAGTGCCAGCATGTCGGGACGAGGAGCATGAAGTAGAAAACTCAGTTTTACAGGTCTGCTAAAATGGCCTGGCACGGAACCCCGGAATTCGTAGAATGTGAGAGGGCTGGAGGCCGTTGGGGTCCTATTATTTTATTATACCATCAGAAGTCAAAATAATGGCAGTCAACCGAGAGGGCACTACTGAGCCCACCCTCACAGTGAGTCCCCTGAACTATCAAGGTGGCAGGGACGCCCCCCACCAAGCTGGTGGAGCAGGTGAAGGCAGCCCCACAAGACTCGTGATGACGTTTGGGATGACAATAAGCGGGAATACTAATGACGTCTCAAACGACAGAAATTAACATTAATATAAATGAACAAAATATGCAAAACCCACGTGGGAGTTTCTCCCTGTCCTCAAGCACCATGAGCACATTCTTGCACCATTTCACAACTGCTTCCCTCAATACGATTGGAAGAATTTTTGAACAGAAGGCAAAGATGAACATCTTAAAAAAAAAAAAAAGTTTCCTAGCAGAGTTTTAGAAATATATAAAATATGGGAATGCTGGCTGGTTCAGAGAAACAGCTGTGGTTTTTCCTTCCTGGAAGAAGTCAACAACCATGCCTCAGCTACAATGGGTTTTATTAGAAAACTCATTGGGTAGAAAACAAACCTGCCACTTAATGAAGGTATATTCTTTCTTGCTACAAAAAGAAGCCAATGCTTTGTCCTGGAGAAGATCTAAATACACTCTTACAAATACACTTCCGGCTGCTTCCTTAGCAGGAAGAATGGGCAACCGAAGGCCTCCTGTCATCTGCCCTCAGGCACGTGGAGGCCTCCAGCACGCATCCTTGGCCCTGCTGACCCAGGTGGGGACAGGCTGATGCTCCCTGGATGTGGTCTGACTTTATCCTGGATAGAGTGCTGGCACACTTCGTGCATTACTCGGGTGTGTGAAAGGCTGTGTTTTATAAATAGACTTCAAAGGGAATCAGCCCCTATCAGTGTATATAAGGGAATTGTCGGCCCGTATCTTTTCATGCTGCTAGCTAAATGTAGGAAGCAGGAGCATACACACTGACAGAGGCAGAATGAGTATTTTCATTATTCTCAACCTGTCCTACCAGTTTCTCTTCCTGTTTCCATTATAAAGCTCACATTCTAAGAATAGCTATGCTGTTCGCATTAAAACACACACACACACACACACACACAGAGCGAACCCCCATACCAGCTCCAAACAGATTCTAAGCTGAAAATGGTCTTTACCCTTCCCCCCACCCTTTATCGAAATAAAGAGGTCCTTTAGAAGCGTGCCTTCCACGGAGAGCATTCTGTAGAGGTCTCTGTCTAGAAGGGGTGACGTAGCTGTCCCAGCACATCTGAGCTGAGGGAGGAAGCGTAGTCACTGGTGGAATTTCCAGTGGTTACCTTAAGGGTTTTCAACAGCAGCAACAAAATATTGGTTTAACACATTAAAATGTTAAATGAGTACACGAGTCAACAGCAAGGATCTGGGTGGAAAGGGGCAACTGGAAATTCAAACTGGGTTTCATTCAGCAACGATGCAGGCAATAAATAAAGCTGGTGCGGTTTAAAATAAAACCTGCCCAGCTGTAATTACAGCGCACTTGTGGCCTGAACGTCGGCAAAAAGGTTAGGAGACCTGACTGCTAAGCTGGTTCAAATGACTCCAATCACAGCTTATGCGGGCAAGCCGCAGTGGCTCCGTACGCTAATCCATCCCCTCCGACAACAGTTACCCTATTTCTGGAGCTCCCATTTCTGGCTCAGGGCCAGAAAGCACAGCAGGACAGCCCCAGGTTCCACAGCCATGAGGAAAAAAAGACCTAAAGACCAATCTCTAGGACTGTCTTTTCCAAAGAGCTGCCTATCTTTCATTCTCAACTCGTCCACAATCCTGTAATACTATCTTTGGGCGAAAAGGCACGTTGAACAAAGCGACACGCTAGCCTGTGCCTTAGGAGTAGTTATGAGGTTGCTAAATGAAATGTCACCAGATCTCAGAGATGAATTCCCCTGGCAGGCTACCCCCTTACCTCTGAAGAGGAAGAACTTTTAGAGTGGTTCTCAATAAGGAGTGTTGAAGCTCTGTGGGGGCATTTCTGGTTATCCCTGTGGCAGGGGGAGATGGGGGAATGGTGGCTATTAGCCTTTGGTGGCAGGAGCCAAGGATGCTGGATGCCCTGCCAAGAAAGGCATGGTCCTACCCCAAATGCAGAGAATGTTCTCGTGGAGACAGGCTGCCTCACGATCAACTGGATTTTAGAGATTTTAGAGAGTGAGCCCTTTAGGGACTCAGTGAACATACACCATGGGCAAAGTGTGAGCGGCAATCTAGGCCACTTTGGTCCAGGCCTCTTTCCTAACACAATACTACTGTTCTATCAACTGTACTCACTTGGGGGTCTTCACTAGAAATGGGAATTTAAAGCACGTGTTCACTGGTAGCCTAAGATTGCATGGCTGGGCCAGCGACCATCACCCAAACTCAACCAGCTTTCACACACCGTCCGTTCTAAGCAAGCAGTACAGATGACAGAAGGACAGAGTTAAGCTCTGTACCCGGAGAATTAGGCAGGGATACAAGGGACAGGAAGAAGAGCAAAACCTCCTGTAGCATCAGAAATAGAAACAAGAACACCAAGTTCGGTTTAATCATAGGTCGAGAGATCAACACAATAGAAATATAGCACTGACTTCTAAAAAAGAACTACAGGCTACATTAAATAAGACACCATGAATTCAGCTGAAGGCATGAAGGATGGACTGAGGCATACAGAGATACTCATATGCACCTCTGACTCATCTCATCGTGTTCGTTAATACAATCTCCTCTGCAGGATTCAGGGGCACATGGGAGAGTGACATGATCAGAAAAATCAATTTTGACAAAACGTTCACCAAAAAGAGCCATCGAATTTACAACCAAAGTCCTCAGTACACCTCTTAACCCCCAACAAAGGAATGAGACAGAGCACAGGAGTATAAAAACACGAATCTGACGTGAACAACGAAGACTAAAAGGACACATCAAATCAAGGTGATCATGTCAATAGAAATGCAGAAAGAAACTGATGAGAAGAAATGATTAAAAAAAGATTAGAGCTCCTAATAAAATTACAGCAACGTGGGAAATGAAACCGTGACATCAAATTCCTGGCCCCGGGGAGCATGACACCTTTCTCCCCAATATGGTAAAGTGTCAGGACTAGAGCTTTCCAGGAGTCCTATGAAGGAAAGGTGCCCATCCTGGCACCAATCCCACAGGCAGCCACACGCCTGCGCCCAGAAGCCTCCTCCCCGTGCCCCCCTCCCCCCACCGGCCCACACAAGCCGAGTCTAGATGTAGACTGAGGAGGCCCCCTCGGGGCCATGCTTCGGGGTCAGGGAAATTTCCCTCCAAGAACCAGGGCTCCTGAGTAAGGAAATGCAGGAATCAATGGCAGACCTCGTGACAAAAATGGAACCAAATAAAAGCGGCAGCCTTACCCACGTCGTAGTCTTTGTGTTATGGTCAATGAAGAAGGGCCGACCGTTGGGTGCTATCCTCATTTCCCAGCCGGGCGGCAGGAAGCTCTGTGTGACTTTGTGTTGTGGTTTGGGGGAGTTGTAAGGTGATGGCTGTGGGGACTGTGGGTTGGAAAGGGTATCTTTCACAGCCCGGCGTATGGGCGAATCCTTGGCACCCTAAGGAATAACAACGAGCATTAGAACTCTTACCAGGTGCTATTGTGGAGGTATCAAAATGAACCTGGGTACACAAGGAACGCTCCTCTTTGGCGAGGCACGAGGGAGAGAGGCTCCTGAAACCTGTTTCTGTCATCCATTTACTTTGCAACTGATCTAACTTTCGAAGTTTTTCGGCTGGTTAAACACATGAACATATCAAGTACTTATAACCAAGGTCCGTGGACAGCTATTCAGTGCACACCCAAAACACTGTTCTGAACTGAACATGATAGATGGTATTTTACAGAGGGTGGAGGAACACACGCCCCTGCTCTTACTGAGCTCACAGTCTAATGAAGACGGGGTTGGCAATTTTGAGAGCCCAGAAAGAAAACCCTGTCCCCACGGACCAGCACGGCTGCTACCCACGGCATTCACATCCCCGTTCGGAAGTGATCACAGCCACGCCCCGTCATCAGCACCGGGAGCCCCGGGATTGGGCCCACGGCTAGCTCTCAAGACACGGTCAAGTTCAGAACTTCAACGTTCGCTCTCTGGCTTCTCTAACTCAGACATTTGTGATACGAAGGGATGGCACCAACACAAACAGGAGAGAGCACAAGCAGATGCCCCGTGATGGCTTCGAGATGTGAGTGTACCCATACAATGACAGGCCCTACAGTCGAGGGGAAAAAAAAATGATCCAAGCAACAGCTGTTTTAAAAGGCAACGTAAGCATTGGTATTTGAGAGTTATTTATGCAGTCAAGAGCGAAACACAACGAGAGTGGAGAAAGTTCGGAAGAGAGGTGTCCCCTTCCAGCACAAGGACCGTGGCGGCAGCCAAATGAGAATGGGACTCAGGTGGGAGGCCACAGGGGCGAGCCAGGCGGCACAGAGAAGCATGAAGTAAGGATGAGGGAAGACTGCATGAGAGCGCCCTGCACCACGGACACCACGACTGGTCAGAGAGAGGATGGGGGCTGCAAACCTCAAACCCAAGTGAGATGAGCAAGGAGAATGAGAAGTCCCGGGAGAGAGCGACCCGGTTAGAGGATGAGGCAGCCTTCTCACCTCCAGTGGGGCAGATAAGGTTACAGTCGGCGAGCTGAGGCTACGGGGCCGGCGGATCTGAGGCTCGATTAGGTGGTTGTTACTGTTTGTGGCGGATCCGGACGCACCATCTTCAGCGAGCTATTTTGGAGGCAAAAACAAGTTAGCTTCACGGGAGGATCCCCCGTGCATGTGATTAGGAGCGTGGACCCAAACAACAATGCAGCCAGCACTAATAAGAGGTCTGGCCTATTTCAGGCGTGGAGGAAATGATTAAACATAATAATGGGGGCAAGGATGGAGGAACACATTCAAAGGAAATAGAAATGAATCACTAAGCCCAGCATAAAAACCAGCCTCGGGAATAAAGGGGGCTGGGAGAGAAGCTACACACTGTGACAGGCTCTTACTGACAGCATCTTTCACGTCCCACTTTAAAACCGCATCTAGGGATGGACTGACTGGAGGACCGAATTCTTCCTCAGGCAAATAGCAGACTTAGAGTCACATGTTTTCTTTGTGAGAAAAATTTTCTTAAACATGGGTTCTTTAGAACAATACATTCACACTGGGAACAGCGAGCTCATGTCCACTTCGGCTTCTATGGCCTGTGATTTTAAGTTGTAGGATGATCTGCGTACCTGCATGATAGGTCGAGTCCAAGTTGTGGTTCGATTGTTATGATTGACATAGTATGTGCGTCCCTTAGCATCTTTTCTTTCTTCCCAGCCTGAAGGTAGGCCCGGCGTGGTGTGTGCATAGGCCACGGATGGCTGTTTGTGTAAGAAATCATTATTATTTAATAGCCTGCAGTTGCTTTCTGATCAGTTTAATAAAGGAATGTACATCCAGAGAATTAGTTGTTCTAGACCACGTAATTTAATTTCACTTGTACCAAAAACATTAGTGTCTGGAAAAAAGGCAACTGATTTCCAATAGCTTCCAATCTACCGTGAGATGAACCCCACACAGCCATCAGGCCCACAATCTTACAGAGGTCCGTTGTAAAGCCCTGAAGTCTTAAACATAAAGGGCTGTTGCTAACATGATCCTACGAGAAACATACAATCTGTTTCCATTACTAGATTCTACTGTCAAACCACATAAAGGTACTTCAAGTTGTCAAAGGTTACCAAGTGAGGGATGCTCTGAACATTTTTTTCCCCTCAATATAGCTGCCACGGAGATGCTCTCCTAATTCCTAAAGTCTTCATCAGCTTAGAGCCCTTCCATGATAGCTTCCAGGGAAAAAAATACAGTCTCCTCTCTAGCGGGCCTGTATGCACAGTAGGGCTTGCAGTCATGAGGACCCACCAGGACAGCTCAGCTACCCCAGTCAGGAAGTCACTGGGCAATCTGAGGATAGAATTCCAGAGCATCCTGAGAACCGAGGCTCTGTGTACCCCCCGTCCTCCCATGCGGAGTGTCTCTCTTTAAAAGGGGGAAAGAAGCACATGCAGTTTCCAGGTTTAGAGACACGTCCAGTATAAAGTGACTGCATCTGGATCGCCCAAATTAGACTGCAAAAGGATTCCCGAGACACTTCTGCTTGTAGCAAGCAGTCTGAGAAATGCGGTCTGGGTGGAGAAACATGGGACTAGCGAGGATGTTTCAGGGATTCATGGAAAAGGAGAAGGACATCTGAGCCCAATGCCTCTGTGTGCACATCCTATCTTTCCTGTTCACTACCGACACTGTGCCTTGGCAAGGAGGGTCCCAGTCGGAGGGCCCCTGGGGCCACTGCAAGATCGTGACCTGGAGAGCCTGCTCAACGACACTGCCATGTAATTTGGGGACTGCAGTTCCCGAGGCTCAATATTCTACTCCATAAGCTTGAGAGCACATTCCAGAGAAAAACTGAGTCACGAAGCAGCTGCCTCAATGGTTATTTCTAAAACATGTTTACCATGCAACGCAAGATTATTTCTAAGAGGACTTTCTGCTAAAACTATGGTAACTATTTTCTCTACATTTTTCCAGATGAAGTCCTGAAGGCCCTTAAATGGTAATTCCAAGACTGTGAGACCATAAGGGTTCTGGATCTACAGGTGGGGCCACAACAAGAGCAGAAATGACAACATGCAGACTTGATCCTTCTGTGAGTACCGAAGACAGATGAATTCGTCTATAGCCTCAAGCTCTCACCTCCCTCCTTCCCTCGCTAAGGCACCTATCCAAAAGAGCTATTTCTAGGCTACTTTTTATCCAGGCACTACAAAAACTTGGACTCTGCTGAACTAAGTCAGAACCCACCATGTAACCTAAGTGGTCAGTTCATATTTTTGGCAAAGTATATGCTATCAATCTTTGACCTACTGTTGCTTATATGATGACCCAAAATGCTTGGGCTAAATGGAATACTGCATGGAATCTGCAGGTTTTCCTCCTCCCCACTGAGTTAAGTTTTGGGAGAGGAAATCAGATATGCACTCAGAAAGCTCTGTTCTGGAAACCATCAGGATAGTATTAAAGTGACAGAATCCCTGGAAAGGGTATTTATGGGGAAACATCATAAACTACAATAACTTGGACGTGCCATGGTTAATCTCAGAATCAAATCTAAAAGCAATTAGGACTTTCCGTACCAGGTTCCTCTCACAGATCCAGTTAATGGGACTAATCAGTTTCTGGAAACTAAGAGTGCAGTAGAGAACACTGATTTTGAATAATAGCCTCATTTTACCTTCTATTGAGAATTGAATTGGCAACCTATAATCTAGCTCCATTTACACGAGATAGTTTTTATTAAAATCTTTTTTTTTATAGATTTCTTTCTAAATGACCATGGAGAACAACGTATGCCAACAACTGCATTTGTGACCCATTACACTGCTCTTACCACTCGCAGCAGGGAAGGAGGCAAGACTCAGCTTCTCCAGGCAGATCATGCACAAGACCCAGCCCAGGAGCTGAAATCAGGTTTCTACTGCTGAGTGAGTGTGTGTGTGTTCACATGTGCGTTCCATAGGACAAGAGGCACGTTAATTAAGAGACAAGTTATCAACTGCTAGTCAGCTGATTTAACTAAATTTCCCAGCTTTTCATCGGAATAGACAATCGTGCCCAACAGCCTATCCTAGTGGCCCCGTTTATTTCATTAAGACGGAGCAATCAATTATGTGTAAACTGTGAAAGTTTCAATCTGCTTTTAAAGACGATAAACAGTTTGGTACTAACACAGATTCTCCAGGATTTGCTCACACCCTGCTAAACCGTTAACTCGGCGTATTTTTAGGTAGATACAGTGAAGTCCAGAAGGACTGTACTCCTTTTTGTCTTAGAGAGGACTCCTGTGTGGCCAGCCGGGAAGTGACCCCAGTGCGTATTGTCTGTTCGTATATGCCAATGTACAGTATTCCTAAACCACCTGCTGTGGTTCCATCGGTGAGAACCAGGGGTTGTTCATTAAAGCTACAAAAACCAAAGCACTACCATGGAAAGAGATGTTCGCCAGGAGGGTTAAGGCAACATGGTGCATAGTGCCCCAAGGGGTGGGGGTGCAGCTGAGCGCTCATCCATGGGGGAGAATTATGTAAGTTGAGGCGCATTCACATCACCGAATAGTAGGTAATTATTAACAGGTCCCAGAGGAAGGACCACAAGCGAAAAATATCGAATTGCTAAGTGATGTGTTTATGAGATCCCAGGTGTGTGTGTGTGCACGTGTGTGCGCGTCCCATGCATGTTTGTGGGAGCACAGGGGATGGAATGAGGGGGTACGTCCCAGAGTAGCTCCAGTAGGAGACAGCACATGTGGGGCTGGCAGGCAGGGGCAGGAGAGGGTGCAAAAGAGGGGAAAAAACCATGGTTAACAGATGGAACTGGAAAACACACTTTCATCAAACCTGCCTCAGTTTCTAATGTAGCCATCAGGTAAGTTGGCTTACTGCAGCTGAAAGATCACCAGGTACATGGGAAGCATTTCAGAATGACTACTACCCAGTCTTTATTTAAACAAAACCAAACTCATATTTTTAATTCACGACTGGGGTGGGGGTGGGGGGGAGGTAAGAACACGGCAGTGGCAGGGGCCACAGGACCTCATTCAGATGGGTCACTCTGTCCTGCCACGTGGCTCTCACCATGGAGCCCAGGGCTCTCATAATTCACTTTACCCTGTCACTGAATATCCTCAGCTATCACAACACTCCAGTGCTAACAACAGATTCCAAGGCTCCGGTGAAATGCAAAAATGGATGGTGGAGAATGCTCATCAGCCCTGAATTCTATTAAAATTCTTTAAGGAAATGATCTTGTCCACCTTGCAGCTCTGCTTCTGGTAGAAGTTACTAGTGCATAGTAGGAAACAGGCTAGTTCAATTAAGAATTTCCTGAATTCTACTGGAGGCTGAGCCTGGCCACCCAACACATGACTTGCACATAAATCACTATAGCTCAGTACCTTATACTGGGCTCATTTTTGCTGATTGTCCATTTGACTTTCCTGTGTGCAATGCTGAGCATTAAAGTCTAACAATATAACTGAATTTTTCCTCTTTAAGTCCACATCCTGCCGAAAATCAGCAATTGCATGTGTAAAGGTATTCTCAAGTAATAAGCAGTTACAATAAACCTAACAATGGTGACACAATAAGGAAAATTCTTCAAAGAGCTACAGCGGCCCAAAGCATCAACTCTTAAGCTAAGCCTGTCTCTAGGGGTCAGGCAAAAACCAGGCAATTAAAGTACACAGTCCTAGTCAAGTTACCCCCAAATAGGAATACTAAAAATTATTTAAAATAATGACTAAGAGTAACAGATACTTGGCTCAGAGAACCCATTTTTTTTCTAGACCTTTTAAACTTCTTAAATATGTCCTCTCCTCTCTCCCCCCAAATTATATGAACACTTGTTCATTCCCGTGAGCAGAGACTCTTATGGCAGAGCAGGGTCACTGGTTCATGCTCATGACACAGAGAATCTAACCCAGTGTGGAAAATCTGGTCCGGGAAATGGACAAGAGAGGGGGGCCATGAGCACGCCCAGGAATCCACATGCGTAACTGCATGCGGTTCCTGTGGCTTCTCTGTTCTCCTCCAAACCAATTATTTTACCCAAGTATTCTAACAAATAAGAAAAGCTGACCAGGAGCACAAACGTCGAAGATAGAAATATGTTCTAGTATATGTGCGGCCGCAGTAAATGTGGCAGGAATATTTTTTTTTTTTTAAGTAGGCTCCACACCCAGTGTGGAGCCCAACACAGGGTTCGAAGTCACGACCCTGATATCAAGACCTGAGCAGAGATCAAGAAGCTGGCTGAACCACCCAAGTGCCCCAGAAATATATTTTAAACAGTCAAATTAAATGCTCTTTATCGAAGTCTGACAGCATTCCTAATAAAACTATATGGGATGAAAAATCGTTGTTTTACCCACTACCTTTGAACAACGTGAGAGTAGTTCACAGTAAGAAACATGTATAGCTCTGTGGCACAAAGAAGTTGATCTTACCCAAAAAGGAAAAAAAAAAAAAAGCTGATCTTATCCAAAAAAGAAAAAAGAAGGGTATAGTTACCATTATGCAAAATGTTAAAACCAACCCACAGTTTTGCCATTAATGTCTGATCAAGGGGATCATTACCGTTGGCTCCTCACCACCTGTGACAGTTGATGACCGCGCTCTCCTAGTTGGGGCACTGGGCTGTTGATGACAATTTACATCAGTAAAATGCACTTAGGGAGACCACCCACTGCTTACTGAATCAGGAATCACTGCAGCCAATAAGGTAGGTGACATGAATCAGAATTCCTGAAATCCACCGTGTCCAAATAAAGCTGAGCAACCACTCACTGATGACCAGAAGAAAAACAGGGACACGATCACCCTCCCACCCAGAGAAGGCTCAGGCTGTAGCTGTGATTCTGGAAAACAATGAACTGCAACCTCAGGAATGTGAGAGGTCTTACTTGAAACAACCACTCTGGTTTTGCCCCTACTGTTAAATAATTAAGCAGATTCTTAAATCTGCCAAACTCGTAATTTGAGTAAAGGCCACCAGTGATCAGTGAGTTGACAGCTTTATAGAGTGCAGGGAAAGAGGGAGGAATCAACAACAGTTTTCAAAGAGAGTGAGCTCTTTGTAGATAAAATTGACATTGATTTTGAAAAGGAGGGAAAGTGCCATTAATTCATCAAGGAAAATCACAGAATCATCAGGTTGAGGATGATCCCCTCCCCAGGCTATCACAGCTGATTAGTCTGGTTTTTGGAGAGGCCTGTACTAAAACCATTCCAGAAAGGATGCTCTTGTCAAGCTTCTGATCAACCAGTGCATTCTACGTGCGCCACAACTCAAATCTACCAGGTTGATTACTCAGCTAACCAGCATACTCATGAATTCATGCTGTCACCATAAAAGACTAAAACACAGGCAACAATATGCTTTGAAGTAAAAATGTACACGATGGGGAAGACACCACGACTGCACAAAAACTGTAAGTACAATCTTTTTTCCTTTAACTTCATACATGATAAAGTATTAGTGCCCCCAAAATGATCAAGGATTTGTACTAATAAAAAAAAAAACTGGTCAAGGTTAAACAAGTTGAACATGTTAAAACCACAAAATATTTTCTCCTCCAAAAGAAGAAACAAATTTACAAAAAACTTGGGCGCCTGGGTGGCTCAGTTGGTTAAGCGACTGCCTTCGGCTCAGGTCATGATCCTGGAGTCCCGGGATCGAGTCCCGCATCGGGCTCCCTGCTCGGCGGGGAGTCTGCTTCTCCCTCTGACCCTCCTCCCTCTCATGCTCTCTGTCTCTCATTCTCTCTCTCTCAAATAAATAAATAAAATCTTTAAAAAAAAAAAAAAAATTTACAAAAAACTTTTAGTGCGTACACCAGACCTCTCCCTAAGGCAGTCCTGGTCTGCCTTCCAATTTGAATATTTGTTCTTATTTTTGTCCTATATTGTCAAACACTCGTCATTCTCCCATATTTGCTGCTAGTTCTGAACATTGTGGGAGGACGGGAACAAATCAGAGCCAATCCTTTAGTTCGTAGAGCTGCCTTTATGGAGAAGGTACAGACGCTTTGTGGGTTGAGAGTTTAGGGCATTAGTGAGGGGAAAAAACCACTCCCTGCAAACCCAGAAGAGTTCTTCCTGTTCAAAGGGATTCAATATGTTCTTAAGATACAGCTCACAGGAGCACAGCGTTAGTGACTAAATGAAGTTTAAAAAAAGGAAAGAATCATTAAAGCATGCTTTTAGTTAAGATGTTTAAGTCAGGTAAGCACATCAGAATTTGGTATGAATTTGGGTGGAAAAGCAAAGCAGTGGAAAGTTTTTAGCATTTCAGAGACTTCGTGGCAATAACTCTTAGTCCTGGAAATCCACTCTCCTTGGGCAATTAATTTGCTAGGAAATGCTAAGGTCTCATTTAGACAGAGAATAGGTTTGCACAGGAAAAACTCTTCGTCTGCAGCCCAGATGATTTCAAACACAAGCCGCAAGAGCCACCCGATGGCTGGCGAGGGGGTGAGGGTTACCGGTGGCAGATGAGCCTGCTCCGCGACCGTGTCCGTGACGCTGCAGGACCGCAACCTCGAGGACGGCTCTCTCTGCTGAAAGGACATGAAGCATCATGAACACACAGGCACGGGAGCTGGGCTCGTGGCTTTCAAAAATGTCACTCAAGCCTAACTGAGTGCTCTTTGGTCTTAGAAGGTAATTAACTGAGACACCAGCTTCTCTGAGCCGTGACGGTAGTCCTTCAAGTAGCCGAGTCATCTTGCATTTTCAAGCGTTTCAGGCCCACTGGGATTCTGATTGGTCCTTAGTGAGAAGGAACAGCAAAAAGAGGAGGAAGAGGCCAAAACAAGAAAGGGGACTCCAGAGGCCAGTGTAACGCTCTAGTGCTGCTCTAGAAATGGAAACAGGAAGCTAGCAGTCTTGTATTCTGCTTTGGGGTGCACCCGTCGGGTAAGTTCCAGTGGGATGTGAGCAGAGGGAAAAATACTGATATATGGTTATTAGACATTTATTGCACGTTACTACTGACAAAGGGTCAGCTGGAGTCTAAGTCCAGAGAACTCAAATACGGTCTTGCGCTACCCGGAAGGGTCAGGTGTTTATCATTTTAGCTTCTGAATGGAGTTGAAGTCGTACAGAACAGGAATAAGGGAAATTAGCAAAGTTAACCTAAAACATCGAGTGTGTGATGTATAACGTTCCTCTGACTTGTTTGTATTAATCTACATTGTTAGGAAAAAAGCCTCACAGATCCATCAGAGAACAGCAGTAGGCCCCCCACACAAAGGCCAAGTGTCTAATCAGCAACTGGTTCATCCATGGGATAAGTATGTACATGGCACTCACTCATTTTTAATACTTTGCAATGAGAAGTAAAGCGGAGGGGGGGGGGGGGCGCCTGGGTGGCTCAGTCGTTAAGCGTCTGCCTTCGGCTCAGGTCATGATCCCAGGGTCCTGGGATCGAGCCCCGCATCGGGCGCCCTGCTCTGCGGGAAGCCTGCTTCTCCCTCTCCCATTCCCCTGCTTGTATTCCCTCTCTCGCTGTGTCTCTCTCTGTCAAATAAATAAATAAAATCTTTAAAAAAAAAAAAAAAAGATGTAAAGCGGGGTAAGATCAAAGAAAGACTCTGTGACAGTGATGGGGGCCTGTTCGTGTCCTTCCACAACGGTTAGCATGAAGGATTCCTTCTTTATTAAAAGGTCATGCTATTGCCCTTGAATACAGAGTGACCCTGAGAAGCAAAACTGAAGAAGAGTCCCATATTCTTCTTTTTCCAAGACATTCTTAATAGTTAAATCAGACTCAACACAATCTTAAAATAATACTGACTCCTGCACTTGCATCTTAAAGGTATTTTATGATAATTAAATGCAGGCGGGTCCCCATATGAATAACTGGAGATGCTAACTTAATACTAATGCTGAAGAAAATTATGATTTTTTTACTTGGTAGACTAGAGGTGGACACCTGCTGTTCTTGAACTACTTACTACTTTTTATAGGTTTTAAATATATGGCTTCATTGCTTATGTCATTTCCATAGCAACAGTCTCACCAATTCAAATATTCCACATATAATTTTTCCCCTGCCCTTTGGTATTAAATTTTTTATCTCAGTGGTATTTCTCTTTCTGAAAAGCATTTATAGAATTTTAATATAAACCCACATTAACTGAGTAATCACATCTACTCATACAATATAGGCCAATGGTGCCTTAAAATAAACACACTGTAACTGAAGTAACAATTTTGTGAACACTCACTTTTACACTTGATGTGGTCCTCCCATCCACTTAGATTTGATATGGTTGTAATAATGACTATTTTTCTAGGATGCCATTTTCAGGGGAATGACTACTATCATTTACTGTAACATATCTTTAAGTTCAATTTCTTGAGTAACATCCAGACTGCATTTGTTCTCAACTTACACACAAGCAGGTATTTTTCTTTTTTCTTTTTTTTTTAAAGATTTTATTTATTTATTTGAGAGAGAGAATGAGAGACAGAGAGCACGAGAGGGAAGAGGGTCAGAGGGAGAAGCAGACCCCCTGCTGAGCAGGGAGCCCGATGTGGGACTCGATCCCGGGACTCCAGGATCATGACCTGAGCCAAAGGCAGTCGCTTAACCAACTGAGCCACCCAGGCGCCCAAGCAGGTATTTTTCTATGGACTTTCCTGCATGGTTTTGTGTTGTCAAACATGGAGGTCTTCATACTGGTTTTGCTGCTTCTCACTGGGGCTTAGCCCCATCCGAAGTTTCTAGAAAGAGGTTCCCTGATGTTGAGAACCCAAGTTCAAATGTTACCCTGAGGTCCATGCCACAACTTCATAACCTTTCTTAAGGATTTGTTCTCTGGGACTTAGAGGAGGTCTTCTGTCTCCCATTCTAACTTTGTCTCGGATGAGTCCCTTCAACATCATGCCTTCATCTGTGACATGAGAATGATACAGGGTGCAGCAGAGTGCAAATTAAGAGGACTCATTAAGAGGCCCAATGTCTCTTAGGTCCCAGTGTGAAACACCACCTTTGTGATGGAGGTACTATTTATGAGCCTGTGGCTGGGAAAAGAAATTCAGGGTTAAAGCTGGTAATAATAGAAGTCATGGACTCTTCTTTTCTTGAATTCTTTACAAATCAAGATTTCTCACCTGCTTGGACTAATTTTGGTATTGTCCTCTTAGGAAAGGAAGAACTTTGGGAAATGTCAGAGTTCTCTGGGAGCTGGAAGAATCTTGGTCATTATTTGCACCCAAGAGTCTCTTAAAGCAGTAAGAAATGGTAAAATATTTGCCCAACTTCGCATTCAAACGGGACTATTACTTACAATCAAAGAACCAAACTGCTCCCCATTGGAGTCTGGAGTGATCTGAAGCCTTCTGCTCAGTTCCTCAGACAGCTCCTGAGGGCTGGTCCGAGACATTGGGGAGGATGGTGGTGGGGGCAGTGATAGATTGAGGGAGTCTCCAGTGACGTTCGCTTCTTCAGAAATGGTCTCCCAAGGCTATCAAGGAAGGAGAGACGCTGGGGTAAATGGCAGGAACAAGGGATCCTCTCGTCACCTTGCCATCGATGATAACCATTATAATAACTATAATTACCATTTACCGAGCACTTAGGAGGCACACAATCTTCTCCATAACCACAAGGAAGATGTGACTACTACCCTGATGGACAGATGAGGAAAACGAGGCACAGAGACTAACTTGCCAAAGAGGACAGAGCTGGGAAGTGGCAGGACCAGGAACTGATCCAAGGAAGCCTGGCTCTAGGAGCTGCACTCTTCACCATTTTATAACACCACCTCTCTGGGCAGTGACTCACTTCTAGCACAAGTGACGACATATATGGGTTAAAAATGTTCTCAGGAATGCATTCACGAATTTCATGGATTTTCTTTTTACTCTAACTGCTGACGAGTCACAATGAAAACAGCAGAGATGCTATAAGCTGTAATTAAATAGAGCTTTTAAGTTTCAGTGAATTTATTATCATTAATTTTGCTTTTCCAGTTTTGAGCCCTGTAACATTTTGTGAATGATCATCTTCATAACACACGGTCTGAAAAGAATGGATTTCTAGTAAGGAAACAGAGTTGTTAAGGGTGCGTGGAAGTTGCGGTCATTGCTCATTTGTTGCTCAATTCATAATTTTTCCTCCAGCAATTTACCATAAACATTTACGGGGAAAAATAATAAACCTTCCTAAATTCACCCAGATTTCTCTTTTCTTGGGAATAAATCTCATGATTGTCAACACCACTCAGTAAAAGCACGTGTGGCACCCATACAAGTTACAGGGCTCATTCAACTGCTGGAATAGGACAACCACCTTGCCATTCAGTAAGATACGGTCAGACTCTGGGGAAAAGTAAATTATAAAGTGAAAATATCTTAAGATTTCCACTACTAGAAACAATGTCATTCCCTTTTGTAATGGACAAACACACGTATTCATCAAACATGACTTTTACAAGCATTTCCTAAATGAAAGAACATCCCAACGGTCCTCAATGAGCTGGAAGACCACGATCGGTCATTATTAGACAGCATTTCCCCGGAGAAAAGAGGAGGACATGGAATCCAGCTGGGGGGCACGGAGAGGGAGAGGCCGCGGGGGGCTGGCTTACCTCTGGGCCGTCCCCGCCCTCGCTGGGCTCGGGCTCCAGGTCCTCACTGATGTGCCTGCGTGAGCGGAAGCGCCGGTGTGCCGCCTCCTGGTTGATCTGCCTGATGTTGCTGTCCGACTCGGAGGACACATCCCTGGGGGCGCGGGGCGGGCGCAAGGGAGACAGGAGAGCCGGCATCGATCCCTGGCACTCTGGCCACAGTCCAGCGCTTACCAAGGGCCTTACCCCCACTGACATGTCAGGGTTGTCCTGTTCAACATGGACAACTAGCTGGCTGTGAAGTGGGAGAATTCTCTCCACAGAGCTTGGCTAAAGTACAGTTGAAGGTTCATATCAATCCAATAGATACAGTGTTTAAATGCATCGTGATGATGTCTTTTGAGTATCTTTCAGGCATATACTGCAAAAGGTACTTTAGTATTTAAGAAATCACAGCCCTGGGGCATCTGGGTGGCTCAGTCGGTTAAGCATCTGCCTTCCTTCAGCTCAGGTCATGATCCCGGGGTCCTGGGATCGAGTCCCACATCGGGCTCCCTGCTCAGCGGGGAGTCTGCTTCTCTCTCTCCCTCTGGCCTTACCCACTGCTCATTCTCTCTCTCTAATAAATAAAATCTTAAAAAAAAAAAAAGAGAGAGAAAAAGAAATCACAGCCCTCCATCCGTTTACTCTAGTGATAAAGCAGGTTTCTCAAAGGACGGGTGACAGGTCTCAGACTTGGGGCCAGTCAGTCGTGACACTTCGAGGAGACTAGTAATGACAAGACAGCAACTTCTGGCCAAAGAGCAGAAATAGTAGAAACTCAAAGCTGGGATCTGGAGAAAAGTGCTCCTGATCCAACATGAATTTTTTTGGTTGCTGTGGATCTCATTTTGACAGAATCTCTGAATCATGACACTGTATTTCTCCCTATTAAACCACTTATTTTTTTTAAAAAGATTTTATTTATTTATTTGACAGAGACAGAGATAGCGAGAGCAGGAACACAAGCAGTGGGAGTGGGAGAGGGAGAAGCAGGCTTCCCGCCAAGCAGGGAGCCCGATGTGGGGCTCGATCCCAGGAGCCCGGGATCATGACCTGAGCCGAAGGCAGACGCTTAACGACTGAGCCACCCAGGCGCCCCTCTATTAAACCACTTTTAAAAATTCACACAAACATCAGGTGGTAAGTTTCCAAATCAAGGGGGATTTGAAGAACACTGTAACTTCATGCTCATTTTTTTTTGTCCTATAACTCTCTTAATTCAGGATCTGAAAGCATCAATTCAATCATGAAAAACTTTTGCAGTAAATTACAAGCAATCATCCTTTAGGAGAAATACTACTTGCTGGCTTTTAGAGTAGAAGTTTAAACATCAAAATGTTTTTTGGGGAAAACTCAAGACTCTCTCAATAAGACACCCTATTCAGTTAACAAAAATGATATTGCAAGTTAACCTTTCAAAATATTTGAAAACATTATTTCAGACTAATTGGACTGGAGTATTAATCAAGGCCCTCCTTATAGATTCTTCCTACAACACAGGTTTTAAAATATTCGAATATACTCTTTAACTTATACTACATCCCAATAAAAAGCCTGTTGGGCCCCTGTAACAGTGAATAGTTTGAGACTAATACCACTGCATGCAAATAAATAGGTGAATCTTGGGGCGCCTGGGTAGCTCAGTTGGTTAAGTGTCTGCCTTTGGCTCAGGTCATGATCCCAGGGTCCTGGAATGGAGCCCTGAGTTGGGCTCCCTGCTCTCCGGGGAGCCTGCTTCTCCTTCTCCCCCACTTGTGCTAACTCTCTGTCTCTCAAATAAATAAAATCTTATAAATAAATAAATAGATAAATAAACAGGTGACTCTTCAATGCCTGTTTCTGAGATAGTTTAAGTATTTCCAACAAACATCTTTACATTATTAACTTCTGGTAAACATGGTAATATGAACATGGAGTGACCGTGTGCATGCGATGTACCAGGTCCTTATACATACTGCACTGTTATAGAGACTTCTGAGAGGTTGGGAAGAAATGAGGTTTTAATATCACTACGCTTGCATTTTTTATCTCTTATAAGTATATGAAATTCCATTGCTTTGGAAGGGCTTACTTTTAAAAAGGGGACATTTAAAATCAATTATGCAAATCTTTCTTATCCCACAGGCTCACATAATTAGTAATCGATGTGAACCAGAAACAACTAAATAGCATAAAGATACCTCTGATTTTGAAATTCTAATCCCAGGCTTTTACCATCTTTAGTGATAAAGTGAAAATGTTCACACAAAGGAGGTCTTTTGCATGTCATTAAGCAATTGAATGAGAGGGGTTTTGAAAGTGGAAATTTAAAGAGTCACTAATGGGACGATGAATGTTTAAAAATATTTCTGAGCTTACAGATTAAAACAGAAAATGATTTTATTGGGGGCAAGCAAATATTTTAGGAAACGGTTATTTCAATTTTCTTCAGTCGTTAATTTCATATATATATTCTTCACTTGACTTTCATGGGAAATATACAAGTGGATAAAGGCACGATAAACCATCAGTTTATCAAGTTCAGGGCCAATTAAGATCAGTGTGAGATCACTCACATTCACATACGTCAGCTACTGCCATGATGAGCAGAGTTACTGAGATAGGATTACATTGTTGCTATGACAGAAGATGTACAAAGTATTTTAGAAAGAGAGGTAATGGAATTAAGTAAGTCTCAGAAGTTCATCTTCATTTATAACCTTAATTTCATTCCTTCACCATGTTTTTAAAATTGTATTTTTTAAAGATTTTTATTTTGAGAGAGATAGGAAACACGGGTGGGAGGCGCAGAGGGAGAGAGAATCTCAAGCACATTCTGTGCCGAGTGTGGAGCCGACCTAAGGCTCGATCCCAAGGACCCCGAGATCACAACCCAAGCTGAAACCAAGAGTCAGGTGTTCAAGCAACTGTGCCACCCAGGTGCCCCTAAAATTGTGTTTTTTACAGTAAAAAGCTTACAGCTGACATTTAAAATAGGGTCAAGGAGAATTCTAAAATTCAGGGTATTTTATTTTATTTTATTATTATTATTTTTTTAAGATTTTATTTATTTATTTGAGAGAGAGAATGAGAGAGAGAGCACATGAGACGGTCAGAGGGAGAAGCAGACTCCCCGCCGAGCAGGGAGCCCGATGCGGGACTCGATCCCGGGACTCCAGGATCGTGACCTGAGCCGAAGGCAGTCGCTTAACCGACTGAGCCACCCAGGCGCCCCTAAAATTCAGAGTATTTTAAAAGCCACCCTCAGACTTGAGAGAGCTGGGAGTAGCACTGTGCATCAGCCTTCCATTCTGGAATTCTATATCCAGGCCTAGACAGTTCACTAAACCGTGCGCCTGTGATGACTTTCAGAAGTGATTCATTTGTACTCATTCGTTCAGCTAGGAGGCATTTTGCTGAGCTCCTGCTCTGGGCGAGGCGCTTCAGGGGCAGATCTGTGACTAAGAAAACACAGTCCTGGCTCCAACAGGCAAGTGGAGCGTTGGGGAGCACCAGCCTTCCAGTGAGACCTGAACAGAAGTACAGCTCCTCCAGAGGAAGGCAGAGGAGGCTGACCTCTAAAGGCAGCCAGAAGGAAGGGGACCTTCTAGTTTTGTTCCGGTTTTGGGGCAGGGATGGGGGCGGCGCATTACTGCATCCACAGGGCCGAGGAGAGTAATCAGAAAGCAGCTGTGTATGGTCCAGCCACTCGACACACTGGGGGTTTATCACTGTGGGTGGGGAACTGGCAAGAGACAGGGTGGAGAAGGAGCCTGACGAACAGCCGGAGGCAATGAGCTGCCATGGAGATTTTTCAGGGGGTTGAAGTCTGGAGCACAGGCCTAGTGAACTGGAGACAGGGGTCACTACGACAGTCTTAATTCTTTGCTTTAGCACATGGTTATCACTGTCTCATTTCCTCAGATAGAGTGAGCCTTCAATAAAGATACTTCTTGGGGCGCCTGGGTGGCTCAGCTGGTTAAGCATCTGCCTTGGGCTCAGATCATGACCCCAGGGTTCTGGGATTGAGCCCCACGTCGGGCTCCCTGCACAGCAGGGAGCCTGCGTCTCCCTCTCCTTCTGCTCTTCCCTGCCCTGCTCATGCTCTCTCTCCTAAATAAATAAAACATCTTAAAAAAAAAAATAGACACTTTTTAACATCAATTTCCCCTCAAAGAGTGCAGCAGTGTTCTGCAAACACTGAATTATGAAAGTAATTATTTTTTAATTAGAACAATACTTTAAAACACTTCTGGAAGGCTTGAGGGCTTCTGGCCAAACCAAGTAAAGTTAAGGAGAAAGCATCTCAAATTCTCAAAACAGTTCAGACGGGATGAAGAGGTTACTGTGGAAACTAACTCTTTGTATCTAACTTTTCTCTCGTTTTCTAGAAGCCAGGCCTGTTGGAGAGGAGGCACTCCCTGGGCCCCACCTGAGCTATGCTGATGTCCTTCCTGGTTCACCCTCTTTGGCAGAGCTGCCTCACGGATGGGGACAGTCATGCCACTGACCACTCCCTAAACTACATGTGAACCTGAACTTGGATTAAGAGCTGCATTTTTCCCATGTTGCTCTGGACAACTGATGAGCCAGCACGGTGGAAATGATCTCTTTTGTTTTGGTTTAGTTCTTTGGGCAGTGCCACCAAGGTGGTATGTTTCCAAAAACATATGAAGTCTTTTCTCAGGAATTTCCTCATTAGAGTTTCACAACTCTGGGAGATAGAGAAAGCAAGGATTTCCACTTCATAGACTTCAGTCTGCAAGATTATAATGAAGGCGAGTATTTTTTCCCTGTACATATGGCCATTAGTATTTCTTTGTGAGTTGCTAGCGGTCACTTTTCTACAGAGGTCACAGGACACTCTGGTCCCCACAGAGTGCTAGGTGTCCAGTGATGTTTAGTGAAGGAAGATAATGGTGCCTTACTCAGGGTATGGCTACCAAGATTCTGGATTCAAGATTCCCGATCATTACATGTAACCAAGCTGAAGTTGGGAGGTGCGGTGTCCACTTTTTTTTAAACTACAAATAGCTAGAGTAGTCAAATGGCTTAAAATAGTTTCACAATAGCTATGGTCATTAATCAAAGGGGAATAGTAAAAAATAAAATAAAAATAAAAGAATTAACTAAACCATTTCCATGGGAAAGAAGAGCTCATTATCATCTGGATGTTTGGGTATTTACACTGCCCTGTGACTAATGAGCTGGGTCTAAAGCTGACCAAGCACAGCTGATATTCACAGGAACCCACTTGGGGGCTTAGGAAGGATTGGATTCACTGGTGTAGATTCGGCAAGCTTTCTCTCTAACTCAAACAAAACCTGGACGACCACTTCTTGGCTACCTTCTCCATCCACGGTCATAAGCAGACTCTCTCTGGAACATCTAAAGAGGCTTACTGACAATACCATCCATCACACTGCTAATACCACCTGTTTAAAAACCATCATTAGTGAATTTCTTTCAGAGTCTGGGTTAAAGAGAAAAATGATCTCACTTAATATACTTGCTTTTATTACATATTAAAATTATATAACTCATTGATAATTACCCTCCTTGTCTTGGCTGCTAGGGAGCTCAAATTTTCAAAGATAATTTCTTCCTTTTCCTTCCTTTAGTATTTTGTTTTGCCATTTATCGTATGCTAATAGTTTTAGGTCTTGCTGCATACCATGATGTAAAAGCAAGTTGCTTCAAATCCTTTTTAACATAGCTGAGGTTTAACTAGTGTTTATTTTCTACCATCAAATACAAAACTGCTGTGTGAACAAAACAGTAATCAATTCACTGCATCCCTGAGGCTGGTGATGGATGAGAATAAACAGTAATGACTAATTCTGAGTTTGCAACCCTCCCATGGGTGTCTAGTGAGATCAAGTGGGTGATTAATAAATTTCCCCAAAAGGAAAAAATAAGTTGTGTTCCCAAATCAAATAATTAAAGGGAATAAAAATCCAAAAACTTCAGAGAAAACTGCACAGCCTCTCTCCACCTGCTGTTTTTCATTCTGGGTTAGTCAGGAGAGGAAGAGGAGTACGAGGGAAGTGATAGCATTACCGTCCTTAAGATAAATCTGGGAAAAATAACCTGTATTTCATGAGCCTGTATACAAAGGCACACAAAATGAATTAGCCTATACTTAAGACAGGCGAACATGAAAGAAAACCAAGAGCTGCTTCTTTAGCACACGTGAATTCTGACGGGCTCCCGAGCTCTTTAACTAAATGAAAAGGAACACAAGACTACCCGCTTTTTCTGATGCAGGACTAATTTCCCTACTTGCCCCAAGGGGCCACCAAACCCCACCACACCCCAGCCGCGGAGTGCAGACGCATTCCTGTCCACGGGTACTCACATCAGGCTCGGTCGGTGCCACTGAGTGGTCCGGTTGTTGTGGTTCACATAATAGGTACGACCGAGATTGTCCACCTTCTCTTCCCAGCCGGGGGGCAGTGGAGGGGGAGGGAGCTCCTCCTGGTGCTGAGAGGCCGAGTCATTCGAGTCCACGACCTCCCAGCCATGCTGTGGAAGAAAAGCAAATGAAGATCGTTGAGGGGGGCCCTTTGGACGTGAGGAAAAACAATCCTGGTATACTCTGGGTCCTTCTTCCTTGCTCCTTGGCACTGTGGCTCTTTCAGTGGCTTCATGCGCCACGTGTGAAGAAATTCCCAAAAAGGGCAAAAAAAAAAAAAATTAATTCTAGAAGAGTCTTAAAAAAAAAAAATTCTGGGGCGCCTGGGTGGCTCAGTTGGTTAAGCGACTGCTTTCGGCTCAGGTCATGATCCTGGAGTCCCTGGATCGAGTCCCGCATCGGGCGCCCTGCTGGGCAGGGAGCCTGCTTCTCCCTCTGACCCTCCCCCCTCTCATGTGCTCTCTCTCTCTCTCATTCTCTCTGTCTCAAATAAATAAATAAAATCTTTAAAAAAAAAAAAAAATTCTGAGCAATGACCAATTAATTGTGCAGCCTTTGAACGTGACCACACCGGACACAGCAACACAGCTTTGGATATACGTAGAGTGTGTTAAGTCACGTTACGCTCTGTCCGCACACAGATTTGTTATTTTGACCTGAAGGCCGTCAGGGCGGTGCAAAGCCACGCCAGGGACATGGGTCACGTTACCACTGTGGTCTTTCCGACACCTCCACGAGGTGGGAGGGAGCCGGGGCGATGAGCCACACCACACGTGTGTTCTTACAGAGATCCTGCCCTGAGGGGCCGAGAGGCCCAGGCTCCATCACTCCCCAGGGAGGAGGACCCTTGGGGGGCGGGGGGCGAGATCTGGAAGCCCGTCAGGCTCCCACTCTGCATCGAGTCCAGTCATGAGAGCAGGATCCAGAAGCTGCTTTCGGCTTAGGCCTTCCCCACTTGCTGCCACCCCATTAACAGGCCTCACGGTACCAGAGTTACAAATTTTTGCAACACATATTTTAGGCATTAAGTATTCCTTCCTAACATCCCCTAGTAAAGTCACTGGAAAATCAAAGTAATTCACTGGTTAGTGCAGCTGGAAAGCTATAAGAGTGTAAAAAATTCCTTGGGTTTGAGATAAATATCTGCCGATGTGCTTATGAAATCTTAACATTCGTACATGCCTACCCCCCGCTTCGCTCCTCCCCACAGGGAGAAAGCGCACAAGTGAAACGCTGCCTGGAAATGCGACCACTTGGCATGGGGGGGGCTCCGAAGACGTGCCCCTAACACATAATTCACGTAGCACGTATATGCCACAGCTGCAAACAGATGTGCAAATAAGCACCAGAGGGGCCCCGTATAATGCACATTTCCAGAACAGCGGGACAATTTGTCTAACACAACAGCACTGTCTGGAGCACGAGCAGGGAAGGTACAGTGGGACCCGTGATGTAGGAATGGGACTAAGGAGTTGTAAGGGGCAGCTTATGCCAGGACGGAAGAAAAAGTTCCTCTGGACAGCTAGTTCCAAAATGGATTTTCTAGAGGAGAGCTTTCCTAATGCATCACCTGTGGGCCAAACACATAAGAACCTTGGAAAAGCTTTTCTAAATCATTTCCTCCACTTTGAAGCAATTCCAAACACCACGATGAAATTTACAATGAGCTGAAAGTCCAAAGAAATAAGAGGATAAGGGGCGCCTGGGAAGCTCAGTCGGTTAGGCGTCTGCCTTCGGCTCAGGTCATGATCCCAGGGTCCCAGGATCGAGCCCCGCTTCGGACTCCCTGCTCGGCAGGAAGCCTACTTCTCCCTCTCCCACCCCCCCTGCTTGTGTTCCTGCTCTTGCTCTCTCTCTGTCAAATAAATAAATAAATAAAATCTTAAAAAAAAAAAAGAAAGAAAGAGGAGGATGAAATATGGTGAGAATTTCACATAGGGGTGGTGCTGTTCATGAAATGCGGGTACAGCATTTTATAAATAAAGAGGAGTCTCTTCAATTATCAGTGCTGTAACATAAAATGAAAAGTTTATCTTTTTTTTTTTTTTTTAACCAAAGCCAAACACATCAGTAGGATTCAAAGACCCAGGTAAGTTTTTTCATAGTTAATTTATTTCCTTCAATTATGAAGTCTTAAATGAAATATTAGTATGATCTTGGGCAAAGAAACCAGATCAAGGCCTGCAGCTCTGCAACTTACCTCCATGTCTTCCCTCTGCTCACTGTTTTCTTCATCTTGACCTCCATTTTTTGGCATATAGGCCATTTTCAATCGCAAAAATCCCTTAACTCGAGATTTATGACTGTGTGATGGAAGAAAATTGGTTATAAAGGATATGACTTGGTTACATCATTCATATTTATGATGACTTAAAAAAAAAAAAAAAGAGGCAAAAGGCAAAGAACCTGAAATTTTCCTCAGAGAAAACCAATGACCGAAACATGAAGGACACATGTACCCCAAAGCCTCACCTTCTTGGTCTAAGGAGAAAATCCTTAAATGTGTAGGGTCGCTCCATGGTCGGATCTTCTGTCTATAGGAAGAAAAAGTAAGTTTCAAACTCCTGATACTGTTGTATTTTAGATACACCAAACTGGGTTGCAGAGAACACACACTGGTGTTTTAGAACGTGGGAAGGTAAAAACGGGGTTGGTTTCTCAACCAGTATTTGACAATTATTTTATAGGTCAACAAAACTTTACCCAAGATCCACTAGATGTCACTATCAACACCCATTTTTAGGAGCCAACCCCAGCGTTAGACAAATGACAAAATTACAGTCGTCATTGCCAAGTCTAATTTCTAACTACAGGGTGCAGGCCTCAACCTCACTGCTGATTAATTTTGGAGAACCAGTGGTCACTGGTGCCTTCTTGTCCCTGTGATCCAAGAAACCTAAAAATGGAGTTAACAGGAAAATATGCCCGTGAAGGCAGTTTTGCTTTATTTTTAACATTAAAGTATCATATCATCAGCCTAAGATAACTGAAAGACTATCCCCTCCCACAGAGACCGTTCTAGGTAGCGCCATTAATCAGCCTCTTGCTGGTGCTTATTTCATGAAGCTGTGAAATGTAATTGTGATTTTTTTTTTTTTTTTTAAGAAATCAGTACTCACTGTGCAAAATTCATTGGTCAAAGCAAGAAGGAAGTTGGAAAAATAATTACTATTTCATTAATTTTTAAATACTACGTAGGTAGGGCGCCTGGGTGGCTCAGTTGGTTAAGCGACTGCCTTCGGCTCAGGTCATGATCCTGGAGTCCCAGGATCGAGTCCTGAATCGGGCTCCTTGCTCGGCAGGGAGTCTGCTTCTCCCTCTGACCCTCCCCCCTCTCATGTGCTCTCTCTCATTCTCTCTCTCCGAAATAAATAAAATCTTTAAAAAATAAAAAAATTTAAAATAAATAAATACTACGTATGTAGAAAAACCTCAAATGACTAGGCTCTTTAATTAAAATAATGTAAAGTACTTTTGTAGCAAGAGAGACAAACCACGGTATTATGATTTATTGATTTATTGTACCAGAGGGGTGTGTGTGTATGCATTTATATTTGAAATGTTACGTATTTTATGTCATTCCCTACATTAAACTCCAATGGCTTCCTACTCTGCTTATACGAAACTGAAAATTCTTTCCTGTATGTCCTATAAGGTTAAACATACCTATAACGTCACTGTGAAGCAGTCTTTCCCTTCACCCCTTGCTCCAACCGTCCCGGCCTCATCTCTCCTGGTGCACATCCATCCAATCCTGCCCTAGCAGGTCCTTCTGCCAGGCAGCTCTGGCTCCAAATGGCCTCAGCTGGCTCCACTTTACAACCCGGGTGTGAGATCCCAGGTCATATCCTCAGACACTGCATCCTAACTGCCACCATTTGCTTCCCCTTGCCACCCTCTAATCAGAGCATCCTGGTTGATCTGCTTCCCTTTCACTATCTGAAATGATCTTGTTCATTTACTTATTTACGAATTTGTCATCTATCACTTTTAGAATTAAGCTAATGGGATTGGAGACTTGGATTTGCTCACCATTAAAATCCGTGGTGCCCAAACCATTGCCTGGCACAATGTGGGCACTCGTTCAAGCAGCTGATTAACTCGTCTGATCTACAGTAAAGTACTGAGGCCATGAAAATTCACTATCGCTGAAGGAAGTCAATTACATTCTCTGGGCAGTCCTCTTTAAGGCAATCAAGTTAGACATTTTGGAAACATTTTCTGAAAAAAGAGGTTTCCAAACACATAACACTTATTATGGAAAATTTATTAATCAAGAATACTACTGCATTTCTTCCTTTTCTCATTTATTCAACCACAAATAGTTTTAGAACAACAGCCACGTGAAAGACGTGTGGCTACAACATGGTGCCTTCCCTTAGAGTAACAAGGATGTGTAACAGGGACCACGGTAGCAACAAAACTTGAACCTAAGATGGAATAAAGATCACATTCTGTGGGATCTGCGGGGGGAGGGCAAAAGCTGATTCTCAACTTGGGGATCAAAATGGTTTGGGGATGTGCGATCCACAATGAGATGAATGGGGAAGTCTGGACACAGGTGGACAGCTGGGAGGAAGGACAGTTCAAGCTGAGGACCTTGGCATGAACAAAACTACAGGATCCTTAGCAGGCATGAGGGGTCTAGGATCAGCAGAGCGCAAAAGACAGTGAGCGGAGGAAAGCACAGAGCTCGGAGGGACTCCTCTGCAAGTGAACCTGTCCACCCAACTACATAGTTTACATGACCAACACCACGCAGATCAAGAGGCAGGCCTTCTAGGTCTGGGTCCTGGCTTGGCTACTGGCAGAGCCATGTGGCCAAGGGCAAGCCCCTCACCTCTCTGTGCCTCAGTGTGCTCATCTAAAAAGTGGGGCTGTAACAGGGTCTCACAGAGTTGTTGTGAGGAATAAGCCAATCACCTGAGTGGGTATAGACGAAGTCCTTGCAAGGGTCCCTGGCACACCTCACACACGCTGGCCATTTATCATCTTCAGCTAATTCTCATTCTCATGTCACCTGTGAGTACTGTCACCTCCATGCTCTCCAATAAAGGGCAGAGCATTAAAAAATGAAAATTCACCTCCACGGACGTTCTTGCATGTGAACAAGATGGTGATCTTGTAGAGAGTGACAGGACTCTTCTTGGCATTATCCAGGGTCCTACTTGATCCTGTTTGCTGGGGAAAAGCCCAGGGGAGAGTCCCAGGACAGCACTGGTAGAAAGCCACCTCACACAGACGGATGCTGACCGCATTACTGGCCGACGTGGACGCTGCTGCCTCCTGTTCTGGGGCACTGAACGTTCCCCAGAAAATCTTTCGGATACACAGCACTTGCATCTTAAAAAGGGGAGCTGCTGGGCGCCTGGGTGGCTCAGTTGGGTAAGCGACTGCCTTCGGCTCAGGTCATGATCCTGGAGTCCTGGGATCGAGTCCCGCATCGGGCTCCCTGCTCGGCGGGGAGTCTGCTTCTCCCTCTGACCCTCCTCCCTCTCATGCTCTCTCTCTCATTCTCTCTCTCAAATAAAAAAAAAAGGGGGGGGGAGCTGCTTTCAGCAGAACTACAATCACTGTCACATACAGTGAGATGAGCAGCTCTGCGGGCAAATGGAAGCAGACAGACTTACCGGGCCCCTAGACACCAAACCTGGATGCAACCACCAAAAGCACCCAAGCCTTAGACTAGGCCCCCTTCCACCCCCGAACCAGACCCTTGACCACATCACAGACCAATGCTGGAGACGCATGGTCTGGCCCAGCACTGCTGCCAATCTACTGATCACTGGGCAAGTCACCTCCCTGTCTGGGCCCAGGTATCCTCATCCGTAAAATGCAGGGAGTAGACCAACGGTGTCTGAAGTCCCTCTAAGCTCTAGGACACTGAATTCTATACATAGGAGAGGGAATCATTACCTTGCTATCAGCCATACACAGAAAAGGGGTGCTCATCATCTGAGTTACCTTCAAGTACAGCCAAGGTACCCCAAACAACCCCACCACCCTGAAAATGCTTCACTCTAGGGAAACTGAAATTCAAAAGCTACCCTGACTGCCTTGAGTAGCACTTGACTAAAATAGGAGAAACCAATGTTCTTAAAATAGCTCTCTCCACCGCAGTGTGTTTCCCATGGATACAGAGATTTTGGAGCTGAAGGGGGTGGGCGGGCTGGGGGCTCAAAGGGCAGGGGAGACACAACGGAAGGAGGCTGGAAGGAGGCGTCGAGGAGAACTGCAGATGTTCAACAGGCAAACACCTGCCAGAAAATGTCCCCCTGCTGTTAGGACAAGTCTCGGAGTTGGTTTGCCTCTAAATAATTAGCAAAGACAGTCATAAAACTTGAAGTCATAAACCTTGAACATAAAAGTCATGAACTTTTTAACCACCACCACACCGCAATTCACAAACACATGTAAAAATGGTAGTTTACGAGAAATCAGCTATCGCAGCCGAGTTAAGCTGAGTTTACCGCTGGTGCCCCACGGCAATGAAACAACAACAACAACAACAACAAAAGAGCAGCTCTGTCTCGGCTGTGGTACAAGTGTGAGGCTGCTAGTGGGAAGGACTACCTTCCTAAGTTAAGAGTCTCGCCTGCTCTGCACGCCTCCTGCGAGCCCTGCTGCCCGAGTCTCCCAGGTGACACGCGTGTCCTCTTGGTCATCCGTGCCTCTGCTCAGTGAGCCGCGGAGCTGCGGTGTGGACAGAGTGGGGTGGACACGGGGGGGGGTCATCTCTGCACACGCCCTCCTTTTACAGGTGACACAGGCCCAGAAAGGATGACTGGCTTATTAACGTTACCAAGGCGACTCGCTCATCTCCCAGGTCTGAGTCAACAATTCTGGAGAGATCTTTTAAAGCCTGACCTCTGGAGACTTCCGTGAATATGAACTGATGTTTTCTTCATTCTCGGATCTGCATAAAAGGTCGGACCACCAACCTTATTTACTCTCCCCCGTTCCCCCTCTCCTTTTCCTTGCTCCTGCCCTCAAAAATAAACAAACCGGACAAGAAATATGAAAGATGAGTGGCTCATCTGGAATGGGAGCAAAGGAAAGAGAGGTCCCTCCTGTTCTGAGCTCCCATGTCCTGTTTCCTTTCCATGTTTTCTTCCAGAATAAAACTGGGAGAACGGATTCTGAGGGCTGAGGAAAGATGAAAGTCAATCACAAGTCTAAAATTACTTGCTTTCCTCTGGAAGCATTTGAGGAGTATAAAGCACGGAGGGATCCATCACCAGAACGGGAACAAGGGGGCGCCTGGGTGGCTCAGTCGGTTAAGCGTCTGCCTTCAGCTCAGGTCATGATCCCAGGGTCCTGGGATCGAGCCCCGCATCGGGCTCCCAGCTCTGTGGGAGGCCTGCTTCTCCCTCTCCCACTCCCCCTGCTTGTGTTCCCTCTCTCACGGTCTCTCTCTCTGTCAAATAAATAAATAAAATCTTTAAAAAAAAAAAAAAACGGGAACAAGAAGATTATTTCCTTTCACACGACCCATCCTTACTCTTTCCTGTTTAGGGGACAATGACGGACTGACACTGGCCTCCTCTGGCCACTGAGGTGGTGACTCTGACCTGCGGGGTACACCTTGCTGCCCTACCTCTCCCGAGTGCCTCCTTCACTTGTCACCCTGGCAGAACGTCAACTCAGCCCCTCGCAACGACCCACAGGGTGCAGAAGGGCCCGTAAGTACTCCAGGGACCCAACGCTGGGCAGGGGGCCAAGGAGGACCCTTGTGCACCGGGTCCAAGATGCCAAGACGCTTGTGACTTTGCACTGTGCACCAGTGGAAGGGTCACTCCGACCCTCCAGTCTTCCTGGGGGTCAGTCGATTTATAGCTGCCAAGTAAGGGCAGCTTAGGCAAGCCACTCCTAAGATCCTAAAAGCAAGGTTTTACATGGCAAACACCCCTATCCCCTGGCAATGAGCCAATATGCCTCCAGAATTTCAGCAAGAGAAGAAGGTTCTTCGGCAAGCATCAATTACTAGGTCTAAGATACTTATTTTTCAAACATACGCAAAACACAAAATAGGATTTAAATCATCAAAAATAATTTCTTAACAATCATGAGATTACACTGAGTTTAGTTCTGCTGTCTTGGATCTTCTCCATAAAGTTACTGATTTAGAAAAGGGCTTCGTGCAAATTAAGGCAACTTCTTAGACCAGAATCAAGACAGAGAGGATTTTTTTTTTTTAAAGGAATAAAAGTTTGTGGTATCTTGTGGCAATAAGATAAAGCCTCATTCTTGGTTTAAAATGCCTTAAAATAAGTAAGTGGATATATACCTATCTAGATATAGACTGCAACATGGAGGCAAATGCAATTAGGTATTTTGCTAATACAGATTTCAAAAAATAATAAAAAATACTTCTTTTTAATTTCTATGATTTCAAACATCTGGGCTTTTTATTATTACCTAAATTAAATGTTATTGGTATATCACACCTGTAGAACTAAAAAGAAATAGCCTCAGGTAAGGGGAAAAAAAAAACCAAATGAAAAATCACTAAGTAAAGCTGGTGGGGGTTCGGGAATCCCTCTAATAGCTAGAATTATTATCTGAGGAAAAGGGAATCCAGAATCACACATTATTTTACCTAAGCCAGGGAACTTGGTCTCACCCTCACAAGTACCATCCAATATGGTGCCATCTGCCACATGAGAATTTTCAAAAAATTTAATTTTCATTAATTAACATGAAATAAAATGATAAATTCAGCTCCTCAGTCATATGGGCCACATTTCAAATGCTCAGCCACCCCATGTGGCTACAGTAATGAGTGATGATGCCGGGCTGCATGAGGGAGGAAGCTGCTTGCCTGGATTCCTCCTCGGAGACCAGAATCATGTCCATCGGCCATGCTCTATCAGATAATGAGGCTACATAAAAATTAATTAATAATCACCCCCCCCCCCCACCGTCAGATGCCTTCAACCCTGAAAAGGCTCACCTAGGTCGGCAATGGCAAATTTACCACCACATTACTGCTCTCCCTATCTTCTCTCATTGCTAAGGAGACAATTTTCCTAATTTCTTTTATCTAAAATTTGATGATGTTGACAAATATTGACTCTCTAGGCCACATACAACCTGCCTCAACAATGGTCATGTAGCTCTCAAGAAAAGAGCGACTATTATTGAGTCCGCAAAATACATTCAAATGCTGACATCCATTTCCTACACCCACACTTGTGTTCTTCAAAATATAAGGACACTGTGTAATTTTCCCATGAGCACCGTTCACGTACGATCAACCGTACACATGACAGCACCTCAAATCCTGAGCCCAAAAGCTGCATCCATTCAGAGTATGCTAGTTGGGTCTTACCATCACTTGAAAGGTGATGAATGCACCTTCGTTCCTCTCCTTCTGCTTCCTCTGTGGTCCATTTCCCGGACTGCAGTTGGCCCCACAAAGCTAGTCCATTCTAAGTACGGAAATTACTGCACTCCGATGTAAGCTCTTGGCTGGGCAGATGCAAAACAGGGCGGCTCCTTCAAGCACCCAGCTCAAGTCTCAGAGAGGTTCTCAGTTCCCTCCAGGCATTCACTGGCTCCTTTCTTTCGTTGGCTGGTTTTGATTCCAGGCTTCTGTCCTGGCACCACTTCTTTGAAAGCTCACTCTTGCCTCCACCCAAAGCCCAAGCTAAACCATTCCCTCTACTGATTTGGTCTCTGAAGAGGAACGCTATTCTGTTCTCTGGGAGCCCCACCCAACCTTTCAAAACCAATTTGCCCTCAATCACTCAAACCAGGGACTGTCGGAGCAGGTTGCTTAACAGATTCCACTTACACCTCTGAGAGACTATTAGTGCATAATTTGCCTTGACCGAGAGTCAGTTTTTATGTTAGGGAAAAGGGTGGTGAAGGATACCCACAAAAGAACTGGCCAACCCACACTGCCCAAAATGTGAGATTACAGCTTCGACCCGAAGAGGAGACACAGAAGACCAACTGATGTAGAAATACATGGAGAGTCTTTCCTCGCCAACATTGAGACTTCCATGTCCTCTCAACACAACTCTAAGAGGATAACTGGGTTTCTGATGGCTTATGGAGTCGGTCTTATGTACACAGGCACCCTCTGCAAGTACCTTGGAGTTTTGGGTTTTTATACAGAAACAAAAATATTTTAACGGTATCAGTTGTGCTTCCAATTTTTTGGAAGGAAATGTGCTTGAAACTTTTCTTCCTTAATAGCGCCCCTGAGTAAATAAGAATAAATTGCTTGCTATCTCATGCCTTCACAACACATCTTCAGAGCGTCCTGGGCAAGACACAGTCTTTTCTTGGTATTTAACATACGGTAAGAGCCACGACTTCAACACAGCGGCAGACTCCCCCTAGCTGGTTTAAGTCATTTTAGTTTGTAGACTGTTTATGCTATTTGCTCACACAAAGCATTAAAAAAATTAACAAAAGGCCCTTGAAAGGCAGACACATTGGACTTCTCCTCTCTTAGGAGCTACCTGAGTCACTTTGTGATGCCCAGAGGGAGAAGGGCCAGGAGGCGGGATGCGAGAATCTGAAAAACCGAAGCTGAAATACAAGCTGATCCGCCTTTCACCACAGCTTCCAGCTCCCATGCCCCCCCTTCTACCTGCAGCACCTCTGGCGCGTGCAGAACACACCTCCGGCCTCGGTTCTTGGGCGGAAGTCCCAGCGGCTCTGCTGCTCGTGTGAGCAGAGGGGCAGATGCCAGCTCAGTAGAATTTCTAAAGCTGGAGTGGGTGTTTCCAGCTGACAAGTTCACTCAGAACAGACAGCATCTTTTGTCTCCAGGCTGCCTGAGAAAAGCCATACACCCAAATCCGGGAAGCACTAGCTTATATGGATGTAGCCTAAGAGAAACACCCATGTCATTCTAGACGAAGGGAACAAGTAAGTATCTGATCGGACCCAAAGGATGAAGTTTTGAAAGACATTCCAGTGCCAAGAAGGAGGTTTTGACAGAGAAAGGAGCTGTTTTATATGATGTGACAAAGGAAGACCAGAAGAGAAAGAGGCACACAAGCCTACGTGGATGATGTAGATACACCTGAGTTTTACAATTAAGCTCTCTCCCATCCCCCTGAAAGGACCACTTTCTAGAAAGGGACAGGGCCAGAGCACATGCTCTTCATTTCCGCCTGCTCCACTGCCTTGAGGAAATAAGCTCTGAAATACACCCAACCGGAAACAATTAGAAAGCACTGCTCACAGCACGCCCCATAAAGCAGGTAACGGTCCTTACCGGGAGATGACTGAGGGGTATGTCCACCTGTCCCAGGAAGTCGTCCCGTGTCTGTTGAGAAGACAGCAAAGAGTTAATGTCCCCATCTCTGCACTGAGTGTCAGCATTCTTTTTTTTTTTTTTTAAAGATATTATTTATTTATTTGAGAGAATGAGAGAGAGAGAGCACATGAGAGGTGGGAGGGTCAGAGGGAGAAGCAGACTCCCTGCTGAGCAGGGAGCCCGATGCGGGACTCGATCCAGGGACTCCAGGATCATGACCTGAGCCGAAGGCAGTCGCTTAACCAACTGAGCCACCCAGGCGCCCCGAGTGTCAGCATTCTTAAAAATGTTTAGTATGTTTCTTTAATAAAATGTTCCTGTGATAAGCCAGGGATGAAAGAGCATAAAGTCCAGGGTACTCTAATAGTGTTGTATGGTGACAGATGGCAGCTACACTTGTGAGCACAGCAAGATGTTCAGACTTGTGCAATCACTATGTCGCACACCTGAAACCAAGGTAACATTGTATGTCAACTGTACTTCAATTAAAAAAAAAGTTTCTTAACAGAGACCATGGTCAGGGCCTGACACTGGAGTGCAGCGGGGCTGGGTAGAAGGCAGAGGCCCCGATGCCTGGCAGACAGCCACTGCCTGGGAGACCTGTGAGCCCAAGGCCTTGTACACCAGATCTTTAGCTGGCTGAACCCCTGCAGGGCATCTGCTACCCACTCGAAAGGAAACAAATCAACTCTTGGAATTGGGGAGCATGCGATCAGTAAGGGAAGGGACACTCAGGACCACAGAAGGTTTGGGGTCACAGGTGGTCCAATTTACAGAGAAGACAGTAATGAAATGTTGGGAACACTCTAATATTTATTAAGTGCTGTAAAAAGCTTCTTGAGAGCTGAGAGTCCAGGGAAAGTGTAATAATCTAGTGATTAATAAATCTTAGAAATTACTTCTCAAAAAAAAAAAAGACCTCAAGCTTTCAATCGTGTAAGTACAATACTTTGGAATCCAAGTTCATGGATTAGTTTGCTGGTTAATTTCTGGACACATCATACTTCTTCCCATCTCTGTCCTACCACACAGCATACATCTTTCTGACTTGAGAGACCTAGATAAGATTCATTTGGAGGAGCTCACAAGCCCCCTTTCGGACTCTGGGAGTCACCTAGGAAGTCATAACTCAGGTTCTGGGGTCGCCGGCCTGGACCACGGGGCGTCCAACAGGTCTGCTGCCTCTACGTCCTGCTGCAGGGGTCCCTGTGTCAGAGCTTCTGACATTTAGGTGACCCCAGGGTGTAAATCTGTTACCCTTATATAAAAACATGTAGTTGCTTCCACCACATTCAAATGCCTAAAGCCTCGGAAGTTCTTTAGGGGTAATCCAACCTGTCCCATAGCTAGCCTGAGGAAAAGCCCAAGGGAGAACCCAGACCTCCTAACCCCAAATCCTGTGCTCTTATTTTCACTTTTCCCTGGTTTAACGAGGAATTCTCTAATTTACAGAGACGACTTTTTAAATGTACTTGAAAAACCTCTCTTCTTGCATTTAAAAAGCAGCACCTGGTAAATACGAATGAGATTCATTGAAATGATTTGCTGCAAGCTCAGGATTGCCTTATGTGTAGTTAAAAGAGATTTGATTAACTAGAAAGCTACCTTAGGCGATGCACAAAGGGTAGTGAAAAATCAGTTACCACTGGTCGGGTGTACTTGAAGCGCGAGACTAGCCTCAGTCGTCCTGACGGGCATCTCCTTTCTTCTATTTTCTTGGCTACATCTGCTGCAGCTCACCATGGAGATACCCTCCTCTAGCACAAAGCTACAGGTGCCAAATAATGCTGTAGATCTGAACAACAGCAGCTGTCCGCAGAAGGTCCAGAAAAGGCAGACATCCTTGCCAGCCAAAAGAGATGGGGGATTTCCCGCTCTCCATTTGACTGATTTAATGGTAAAGCTAGTGGGAATGGTAGTTAACTCTCCCATCAAAAACCAGAAGTGTGTTGACTACTGTTGGATGTCTACCTAATGTAAGTGGTGGTATCGCCACTTGTCCCCGGCCCCTCCTGCTAGCATTGAAGCAAAAGGACACACAAGCAAAAATCAGAAGATGGATTTACCTAAAGGAGTTCCATGCCCTCCCATCTCTGAAATGCTACTCCTCAATTATCAACCTAAGTGCATCCTTTTTTTTTTTTTTAAAGATTTTATTTATTTATTTGAGAGAGAGAGAATGAGAGACAGAGAGCATGAGAGGGAGGAAGGTCAGAGGGAGAAGCAGACTCCCTGCCGAGCAGGGAGCCCGATGCGGGACTCGATCCCCGGACTCCAGGATCATGACCTGAGCCGAAGGCAGTCGCTTAACCAAATGAGCCACCCAGGCGCCAACCTAAGTGCATCTTAATAAAAATTCACAAACACCTACGTGCCCAAGCTCTTTTGCTGGGGAGAGGCTGTTAGGGTTCTAAACCCGTCAAGGGCCTGTAGCTGGGCCCAGGCACCTGCAACTAAGGGCTGGAGGAGTGACCCCTATCAGGCCACACCTGAGCCTCACAGCAACTGTAGGAGGTGGGCACTATTATGAAGCCCATTTCACAGATGGGGAACCTAGAGACCAGAGAGGTGTGTGACCTCTTGAAGGTTCCTATTTGGGCGGGCTGGTTCCAGAGTCCGGGCTCTAAGCGAGTACTCCGCCCTACAGCTCAGTAACTGGCAGGAAAAGCATGACTGTGCACCAGCTCTGAGCTTCTCCCTGGGACACCGGCTCAATACAGTGTGGATGGGAAGAGATTCTGATGACAGCAGTGTGACGAGACTTGGTGGGGTCCTATGAAAATGCCCTTGTGGGGTATCTCCTGTTGCTATTTTCCTCAAACGGAGCAAGTAACGAATCCCTGGGGCACTTGCTCAGCAGCTTCACTTGGACATTAGTAGGTTTTCTCACTCAACTGAACAGTCAAAGATGAAGCAACCTCACCCATAAAGCAAACGAAGGCTCTCTCTGGCTTGCATCAAGGGTGACTGTAATAAGACCAGGTTTTAAAAAAGACAGGGATAGGGATCAAGTACAGAACAGCACATGGTCAAAAGAAATTGGCTTACATGAATATTTCACCAAATGGAACGCATGGTGAGATCTAGGTTTTCAAATCATCCCACTGTTGCCAGAAATACAGAAACTTAAGGAAATGTAAAGCGTTTCGGTTAATGACAACATACCAATTTAAAAAATATATATTTTATTTGTCGGAGAGAAAGAGAGAGGGAGAGAGCACAAGCAGGGGGAGCAGCAGAGGGAGAAGGAGAAGCAGGCTCCCAGGGAGCCCGACGCGGGGCTCGATCCCGGGACCCTGAGATCATGGCCTGAGCCGAAGGCAGACGCTTAACCGACTGAGCCACCCAGGCGTCCTGCCAACATACCCATTTTGAAACACATCTTCAGTTCCCCAGAAGATAGCTAGTAGGGGGTCAGAGAGCCTCCTAGGGGTCCTTATGCCAAGATGAGAAGCAGGGGCGTCTCAAGGACGCCTGGGTAGGCTGCGGTGGTAGGATCCCCACCCCTGGGCCCCGAACAATGTCTTAGGCCACCACAACTTCCTGATGTCGTTGCTGCCACAGGATGACATCGTACACCAATGTTATGAAAACACATTAATCAATTTTTGTAATTTCTATTACGCCGTTATTTCCATCAACCACCACGTTACCCATGAGAGCCTACAAAAACCGGACTGGTTTCAGCTCATACGGTGAACACTGGCGTTTCTTGTGTTTATTTTTAAGTGGTAAGTAACTGCTGTCAATCCCAACCTTAGTTACCTGTTGTACTATTCTAGAGGCTGAAAATGTGCTGGTTAGTAACACAGTTATAAATGTTCCCTTCTGACAAGCCACCAAATTATTTTCCAACGTAACGGCAAGGCAAAACGGAGCCCTTGAAATGTGTCAGATAAGGTGAAGCAGAAATCTATATTCCATTACTGGAAATGTGAAGTAACTGTAACAGACGCTGTCTTGGAGCCTTGCCCTCTAAGTGATGATTAACCCTCTTGAAGACTGCCCCTCCCCCCTTTAAAAATAACTGTTCCCATTTAAATAAGAAGGAAAGGAACAAGTGTGTGCCATCGTCACGGAGAGGTAAGCTGCCACCAGCGTGAATGCCACTGGAACCTGAAGCCTGGGGACAAGGACAACAGCTCTGGTGAAACCCTAGGACGGCCCTCGGGCACCTCGCAAGCTGCCCTCACAAAATAAATGAGACTCGATTTCTCAAGGAACACATCTATTTTAAGAAACAACAGAGACTTTTGGTCTTTAGGTTAGAACTGTCCTCGAAGGACTGATGTGTGAGGAGTACCACAGAGGTTATGGTGAGAACAGGGCTAGGACCCTGCGTGTCACATCCAGCCAGAAGCAAGTGAGGGGTGCACGCAGGTATGGCTGGGCAGTGTTTTGTTGTTTTTTTTTTTTTCAGATGTATTTATTCACCAGAGAGAGAGTGAGTATGGGAAGGAGCAGAGGGAGAGACAGAATCTCAAGCAGACTCTCTGCGGAGCGCAGAGCCCAACGCAGGGCTTGATCTCATGACCCTGAGATCATGACTTGAGCCGAAACCCTTAACAGACTGAGCCACCCTGGCGCCCCAGGGCAGGGAGTTTTAAAGAGGAGTTCCAATCCCACTGGCTGCTCACAACAAGAAGGATTTTTTAAAAGTTCAGTAGAATGAGACAGAAAATATTAGTGCCTCACACGAATGTAGTGATTCAAGAAAATCATTTGTTACATACATGAGAGAATGTGTACTAAGTTAGGATCTAAATTTCTTGTTTTTGCATCACGATCAAAAGTTTAAAAGCCTCTCTAAGTACATTAAGCGGAAACCATCCAGTACTACCAATTGCCTGGGGTTTTATCCTAGAAATTAGTAAGTAGTGACTTCCAAGAAGGTTATATTTAGAACTTCTCAAGACAAATGGAAGAGACGAGAGAAATCAGAACACAAGCTACAGAAAAAGAATTTAGGAGTAAAGATATACAGCACGACTAGATTTTTGCCTATTACA